TGTGGGCATGCCAAGGATCCATGCAAATAGGGCAAATTTAAGAAACCATGAAACAGACTTAACAAGATGCTGTCAAATGGGAAACGGTGATGGAATTGGCATTGAGTAGAATATTTTTGTCAAATCACATGGATTTTGTGTAATTTAATGCTGTTCTGAAGGGCAGCGAGAATCCTGGTGTGAAGTGTGTGTCTGAGTAAAAGATGGCTTTTTTCTAAGGTGTTATGTGGCTAATTAAGATTCAAATGAAAGTGGCATTGAACATCCTCTCATGGGCAATGCAGGCTAGTTTGGATGAGGGTTTTCTGGCACGTATTATCTAAATGGAAGGTATATGCACACATCACCCAAGCTCAGCAATCAAACAGCTCGTAGTTGTGTCCTGCAGCAGATGAACCCATACAGCCCTGCAGGCTATTCTTCTGTTTGGGTCTTCATGTGAATGGATGTAATAAAGATGAGGTTCCCATTTGATGGCAGTCAGCAGTTAGGTTAGCTGTACACCTGCAGTGCTAGTACTGTTTCTGGAGAAGAAGAAACTGTGCTGATGTGATTCTGCCTGAAATCAAGGTGCAATGACTTCAGTCCCTGTTTCTGTGACTTGCAGCATTAGCTGAAGGGGCAGGGAAAGGAAGGTGTCTGGTCTTTAGAAAAGAGACTTGCAGTAAAAATGTTATATCAGCAACATGATCTTTTTTAGGACTGTTATTAATTGATTTGCTTTGATTATTTTGTATTTTTCTGTTAGTGTGTGAGTGGCTGGCTAAGGGGCATGTGTTGAGTCTGTGTGTTACATGCAGTCAGTATCAATCCATTGGTCTTCACAGATTCTTGCACTTAAAAGTGGGAGGAGCATTGCTTCTAAGAAGCTTTCCCAATGCATTCTAACAAATGAAGAACACAGAAGTTGAATATATAATGTGGGTGAAGGAATTCATTAGTAGTAACCCCCGATATTCTGTATTAAATACAGCAAACACATACAAGAGTTGGTTTATTATTTAGCTACCCTGATGTAGTGTGCCTAGTTGCTCTCTATGATTTTATCAAGATTTTTTCAATTGTAGCCGTGTATGACATGTATATACAAAATATATCTGACTGCCTAAATGTTTTTTCCTCTTTTCAATTAAAAAACACAGGAAATAGCACACAGTATTTTCTTGCTGGTAGTGCTTCCATTTCTATGTTTTTATTTCAGACCTTGTTAGTATTTTTTTCCAAGTGTCTGTTAATTAACTTGGTTCCCATTCAGAATTTGACTGGCTGACTTTGATCATGATATCTCTTCCTTGCAGCAATATTGCATAATGTTAAAGGAAAAGCAGCCCTAGCCATCTGCTGATGCCTACCAGAGCCATATGCAGCAGCTATAAGCAGCAGTGTTTTCCTCCCTTCCTTATGTCCAAACAGTCATACTGACCTATTCATATCCTCCTGCTAAATATAATTGAGAATTAGGGAACAAATCGGAACAATTCCATCTTTGTCATCTTATTCTTTTTTTTTCCTGTGATTACTGTTTTTGGAATTATCTTTAAACTTATGTCATGTTTGGCTTTTTTAATTGGAAGAGATTAAGACTCAAGTACTGAGGGAAAATTGGCATAGCTGGAGCATTTTGTGATGAAAAGTGAGCAGGATTGCTGGTTCTGCTTGTATTTGGGAGTCATCCTCCCCCACCTCCTCCTCGTTCACTTCTAGCCATATTTTCCATATTTCACTCTATTTTGTTTCCCCAGCTTATTGCTCCTGTTTTCCAGAGGAGATTCCCTTTTCTCTCACACCATTTTTTTTCTGCCTTATTCTTTCCTTACCCTTCGTTGCTTATGCATCTGTGCAAGCAGTCTGCACAATTTGTGACTAATGAGTAATGACAAGCTAACCACAGATGCATGCGAGTGATTAGGGTGCTGTCAGAGGACACTCATTGAAGTGGGAAGCTTGTCTCAAATAAGTGCCCCTTAGAAGTAATGAGGGAACCAAGTTCAATTATAAAATAGACAGAAATCTGTTTCTCTTGCATCCTTCCCAGCTGACCAGTTCGTTCTTAAAAGCAGCATCGTTCTGTTCATCCTGTCAGCCTGGTGTCCTTCAGTATTTCAACACTTGTGTACAGTTCTCTGATTGCTTTGTCAGATGCACAATTGGCAGCTGCCACTCTGTTCTTGGAGCCTTCGCTTTTCTTGTTTCTCCCTTACCAGTGGCTGTGGAACTTCTGTATCTACAACAAAAATGGATCCAGCGTGCTGCCCTAGGGAAAGAATCAAACAAGGAACAGCAGAATCGAGTCTGTTTTCCTCTCATAATGGCAGTGGCTGATTGTGGTGGTGACGTGATGGACCCAGGCTGGCTGAGTTGCTCTCAGGGAGTGCGTGGCCAAGAGCAGCAGGGAGCAGTTGGATGGAGCACTGACCTTTCTCTTCTAGAAGTGCTGTGCTGCTCCTTCGGCTCCAGTCACCTTTGGAATTGGCTGCTTAAAACAGGGTGCAATAGAGATGTAGCATTTGCAGCCTGCTTATCTGGAGGCAGTAAAGTCAGGCCTCGTCTCTAATACCTCACATTTAGCTTTCCTGGCATTCAGGCTGTGTACAGTAGGAGATGGGAAATGTGTTGACAGTAGATAGCAAAACAAATATAAAATTTCAGTCATGTTTTCATCTGTTAGTTAGCTGATAGTGGTTTTTAAGTGGATCATCATCATACAATTAATGTTTCTTGAAATAACTGTTATATTGTTACTTTACTCTCAGTCTGTCATACATTTAGAAATAATTAAAAAACATCTCCACTGCAAAACAAACAAACAGCTGTAGTGATTGCAAGGATTTTAACTGTTTTTGTTTGGGAAGGGAAATGACGGTGAAAGTGACAAGACAAAATCCTCTATGACATGCATAATGTAAACAGGGCATCATTTTTCACTTGTTTTAATGCTTTTTCCCATTCCTTTTAAAAATAGCATAACTATATCAGAGGGGGATTTCTAATCAGAGCTTTCTCTTCCAACAAGTCAAAGGAAATAATCTGTATTTTTGTATGTTCTAATCTTCTTTTGACCTCCAAAAATAGATGTCTGAATACCAGGACTTATGATTTCTTCTATTCTAGCTGCTGAATGACGGGTGTTGGGAAACTCATCTCTGGTACACCACCACTGTAATCAGTCTTACCAGGGACGAGCAGGACATAGCACATCTTTATTTGAAATCGGGTTTTATTTTTTTCCCTCCCTGATCCATTTATATATTGCCTTTATAAAACCAGAGGCAGTGTGGTTGAGTTCTGTTGGCCAGAGGTTGGAATATCACAAGCCAGGAAATCAGCTTATAGTTTCCTGAGAAGTTAGTGTTCAGTCTAATGATGCACTGGAACAGGTTGCCCAAGGAGGTTGTGGATGCCCCATCCCTGGAGGCATTCAAGGCCAGGCTGGATGTGGCTCTGGGCAGCCTGGTCTGGTGGTTGGCGACCCTGCACATAGCAGGGGGTTGAAACTAGATGAGCACTGTGGTCCTTTCCAACCCAGACCATTCAATGATTGTGTGATTCTAATGAGTAAGCAGAGAGATACAGAAACCAAACTGTCCGCTGAAATGGCTGAGGCTGGTAGTGGGTGCCAAAGGAAAAGATGGAAGTCCAAGGGAAGCTGTGTTCAATGGACTGAGACAGTCTGTGTTCATTGGTTTGGGGCTCACCTGTTGAAAACAGTACAGAAGGGGATATCACAGGATAAATTTTCAGTGGTAACAACAGTGTCCTTAACATTTTAAGTGCCTTTTAGACGTAGTAGGTGAGTGGGAGTAGGGGCTAATAGATATAATTTCTCACTTTATTTTTGTTATGACGTTATTAATAATTAATATTCAGGCTTTTGCTATATGCTTATAAACCTTTTTGTGAAAGCATTAGTATCATAAGGCTGTGGTTTCATGGTCACTTGGGGCTGACATAATCATCACTTTTAAATGAGCGGCTCTCTTGACTGGTGTGGGCTCAGGGGATGGGAAGCCTGATTTGTGTGCTGAAAGTGCTCAGGAAAATGCAGCTGAAGAGAAATGGTGTTTCCTAATAAATTCACAATTGCCTGAACATAAGTTTTTCAGTTTGCATTTAATACTTGCTGGTTAACAAGATGGCAGACTTATTTTTTTTTTTCCCCTTTTCAGTATCTGTGGAAGGCTAAGAAATGTCCACCTGTTGTAGGGGGCCCGCTTTGCAGGGGGGGCTGGACTCAATAGTCTCTAGAGGTCCCTTCCAGCCCCTGTAATTCTGTGATTCTATGAAATATATCTCCTCATCAGGGTATTCCAGGACAGCAGATTTCCTTTGTTTTGGCCTCTGCCTGTTAGATTTTTCCTTTAGATTTTAAAGGTCTGAGTGTTATTGTTTGAAAAATACTGGTGTGATTTTATAGTGTAATAGGAGAACAGAGTTGGTACAAATCCTGTTTTTTCTAATATGAGGAGAAAGAGAAAATTGAATGGCACAAAATAATGAATTTAGTATGCTATTATGTTTTGCATTGTTTTCACTGTAATATCATCTGTTTGGTGCCTTTTGCAGCTTTATTCCTGAAAGCACGCTGGCTTATCTGGTAGCTGGGGTGGAGTGGGTTTGGTTAAGCTGTTGCTGCCTTAAAATGCAAAAATGAAGCAGTGTTTTTGGGTAGTACGAGAGTTGGTTGTGACCTGCAATTTGGATGGCAGCAGATGCCCTGTTACAGTTTTAGGTTTTATCCTGTAGAGATGGCAACAGAGCAGCCTTCCTGCTGGGCTGGCAATGCTTAAGTGGTTAATCTAGTTAGTTTTCAGGCTTAGAAAAACAATGAGAAGATTGAGCACCACGGAAAACATTGCAGTCGTGTATAGATGTACTCTGGTTGTCTGAGTACTGAGGGAAACTGAAGAAAATAATTCTTTTTAACAAAAGCCTATGAACAGGAATAAATCTCTTTTGGTAATTGCGTGTAGTGGTCATTTGTTCTTAAAATGATACTCATGATGCAGTCAGTGGGTGAAGTAAGAAGATACTGATGCTTCATTTTCCAGAAGTAAGTGCAGGGATGAGAGAGTGTATGAAGTAGGAGACCTGCTCATCTTGATAGCAGCATGTCCTCAGGGCTAATGCATGTTCAGTCACTTAGGTTAGCTGGGGAATGTTTGTTTTCAAGGAGTTGTGGAGATTTGAGACTGCAAGTCTTTCTGCTAAGGTTAGGTGTGTAAGTAGCATGATTGTCTTGGCTCAGGATAGCTTTATTTATAAATAGAAATCTGTCTCATATAAAGAAAAAGTCAATTACCAACTTTAATAATTAACCTTTCAAAAGGCATTTCAAAGTGTTTCCGTGTAAATATACTAAATAATTTCTGCTCATGTAAGTACTTGTGAAGGGAAATGGAATAAAAGTACAGGTATAAGAAGGAAATAACATTTGATTAAAAACAGTTCACATACATCTCTTTTTAACTTCCAGGGAGCTTACTACTTTATCTGTGTGCTTTACTGTTCTAGTTCTCCTATTTTATGCAGCTATGCTGAATTGAACAATTGTTACCCAAGACTATCAATTTATGTGTGTTACTTGTAAGATACAAAAAACTGTAAACTGTATAAAATCCATTCTATTTCAGCTTGCTGAACTGATTTATCTGAATTTCTAAATGCATTCAGCTTTTAAAGAAGAGTGTAATGTTGCTACCTGAGTGATTTGTCAGTGCAGTATTTTAATGTAAATTCCACCAAGGGAAACGTTAAGGATTGAAGTGTTTCCATTCATCAAAATAATTAAGCAAATAGGGAACGCTATCTGACAGAGAACTTCATACTGATGCCATCTATTTCTGTGCTGAGGAGCCCTGGCAAAGTATTAAATTCCATTCTTTATGTTTTGCCTCAAAAAGGAACCTGTTGGTAAAACATACATAGATGACCTCTGAAGTTGGGACTTGAGCTGAAGAATCAGTGAAGTATCAGTAGATTCTAGGCACTATTATTAACCATTCCCAAGTATTAGCTTATAGAAGATTACAAATATTCCAAATACTCCAAATTGCAGTAGCGTTGAGCCTTCCTCAGTTTGTGGCACGTAGCTTTTTAGGCGTGTTACTGTGCAAACTGCATTTACTTTATTAGAAAAAAACAACAGCCAACCTGTTTCTTTTTGTTAGCTTTCTTAAAATTACCCAAGGAAAGGTTTTGCCAGAACTCCACTGCCTACAAATGGCATCTTCTGTAAGGTGTCAATTAGAAAATGAAGCAGTTTGAGCAGTCATCTACCAGATTCGGATAGATTTACAGCATGTATAGGGTACTACTCATTTATATTTCATTTTTTTTAAATGATCTTTTAGCTGTGATGATTTTGGTGTCCTAACAACAAATTTCTTTTTTAGGAAATAAAGCCTCAAAGCCATTACAACCATGGATATAGTGAATCTCTTGGACGAAAAAGCCACATTGATGATTACAGCACTTGGGACATTGTCAAAGCCACACAGTAAGTTTATTTTTGAGCTTTATATTTGTCTTTCTGTATTAGTTGAATAGTATCTTTTTTAACATGAAGGCAGCTCAAGGCTGACTGTATTTGTGTATACAGTAATGCAAGTTCTTGTAAATGAACTGTATTGTTTAAGATCGATGAGCGTTGTGTGAAGCATTGGCGTTTAACTGTAAATACAGGTGGTTGCAGGGAGGATTGTTGGAAAATTTTTTCATGTTTGTGCTGGAGTTTATTTTCTCTAACTGACGATTAAAAGGTAGGTGGGCAACATGTTGATAAGCAGACATGAGGGTTTCCTTGATTTCTTGGCATCATTTATAGGTTAGAATATGCTATGTACAGATGAATTCTGTTTCTTATTCTACAGTTTCAACACTGCTATGAAACTGAGTTATTGTTAAGGAAGGACTGTACGAATAAATGGAGAGAAAATCTAACTTACAATTATTTTCTTAATGCAGATTAATTATACAGATCTGTCTTCTGTAAAGTCCTGTAATACATCCTAATTTGCAAGACTCTGAAAAATTGTCATTGAGCTACCTTTCAACTTTCCATTATTTACTGTTCAGAAACTATTGACGTCACTTTCATCTGTCTTCTTCAGTAAGCTCAAAACATAGTTTTACAAAAAGTCTTACACTATTTTGAATGCCTACATGATTATGTATATTGCCAAGCTATTTGCCTCTTATGTATATTTTTATATACATTTCCATTTATTTCCTAAAAATTTTCTTTAATTGAAAGTACCTTTGCAGCTCATTTCCTGACTTATGCCACATTTAGGTGTAGGAGATATATGCTTTCCTTCACTTTCTGAATGGAGGGAATGTTTAACTTCCTGATATAGATGTTGACTGAACCTATGATTGTAACTCTAAAGATTTAAATAGTAATACTGACCTATAATCCTCTTAGCAGGGGATTCCTTGAAATGAAACCATTGGTATAACATGAAACTAGGTGCTTCTTAAAGACATGGGACTATGGCAGCAGAAGTGATGATTTTGCAAGTTACTTTCTTCCATTTTTCTGTGCTCATTATATGCTTGAAAACCTAAAATACATTTGTTGTTATCCATCAAATTTAGATTGATCTGTGCTTACAGCTGATGGGTTTTAATTCCTTCTGGTCTCTTCTAACATATAACTGATGGGCCTGTTAATTGTTATGCTCCTTCACAGTATTGGTGTGATGAGATTGGTGCAATGTCTATACATGCAGACTGGGGGATGAAGCACTGGTGAGCCACTCTCATCAAGTTGAACACGAGTCAGCAGTGTGTCCAGGCAGCCAGGAAGGCCAGCCATGACCTGGGATGCATCAAGCACAGCATCACCAGCAAACCCTGTTCTTCACTGCACTGGTGTGGCCTCACCTTGAGTACTTGTGTGCAGTTTTGGAGGCTCTCTCATAGTCTCCCAAAAGAGGAATGCAAAGATGAAGAGTCTAGAGGGAAGATGTATCAAGAGCAGCTGAAGTTCCTTGGTTTGTATAGCCCAGAGAAGAGGAGACTGAAGGAGGAACTCATTGTAGCCTGTAGCTTTTCAGGAAGGGAGCAGAAGGGCAGCGCTGATGTATTCTCTCTGGTGGCGGTGACAGGACCACAAGGGAATGGCATGGAACTGCATCTGGGTAGGGTCAGGTTGGATGTTACTAAAAGGTTCTCACTAGAAGGTAGTCAGGTACTAGAACAGGCTGCCCAGGGTGGTGGTCATGGTGCTGAGCTTGCCAGAGTTCAAGAAGCATCTGAACAATGATTTCAGACAGTCTGATTTTTCAGGTGGTCTTATGTAGAACCAGGAGTTGGACCTTGATGATCCTTATGGGTCATCTCCAATTCAGTGTATTCTATGATTCTGTGTTCTCCTATCTGCAAGAGAGGACTCTGTTTGCCATCATAGCTCAGGGATAGGTGGCTGTCAGCATGGGTATACAATCAAGTTATGTTAGTAGTATTCCGTGGAAACAGACTAGAGGGAAACCTCACATCCACTTTAAGTTTTCACTGGGTTAAGTTTTTACAGCAGTTTGAAAGTGAGGTAAAATGTGGGAAACTCTGAAGTTTAAGGTATAAAATAAGCCTACCAAGTATTGTAAGGCTTGGAATAAAATAAAGCTGCTACTACATTAACTCAGTGATAACTTATCAGCAACAGCAAAGTCTTCAGAAAGATGGTGTCCACATTAGTATCAAAAGTGAAGTTTCACTTGATGAGCTGCTATTGGGAAGAGGTGCACCACTGATACACAGCTCCTATTAAAATGAATAGTGTAGTGACTTTTGTAGAAATATAACTTCTCTTACTTGAATGAAAATAGATGACCTTATCTTCTAGCACTTGTCCTCAAAACTCATTGTTCATTTTGATTAAAATAAGTGATTTAGTTTACTTTTCAGTTCATTGCTAATGTAAGTTAGATGCCACAAAAAGCTTTGCAAAAAAGTGAAAATACAAAAGAATGCTTATGTCTTCTAGAACTTCTCTAACTAAATCAGTAAGTTCAAGAAAAAGGTACCAAAACAGAATAGGAATTATTTTCGTTTTCCAAGTTCTGGTGGTGGTTTGTTGGCTTTTTTGTGTTTTTTTTCTTTGTTTTCAATTCAGTGTTTTACATTGAATGCATATCATTCAATGTAAGTTGGCAGCACAATTTTTTTTTCCCTTTCAGAATATTTTCAGCCTTCCATAGAAGAATGTTATGGTTTTCATAGCATGATAACATTAGATGATAGCTGGGGTGCTTACTGTTAGTGGAAGAAATTCAACTGGTCTCAGGACTGATTGGATAGCTAATTATAATACAGCTGCATATCTTGCTTTTTCCTTTTAAAACAAAATAAAAACGCGCAAGGCTTCAAAAGACAAATATGTCATCCAAAATCTTTGACATTTGAAGTAAGACCACTGAAACTGTAGGCTTCTTGACAGATGGAAGGTGCATTTCAGTGTAGAGTAGAACTGTTGACTCTCAAGTTTGTGATAATCCACGGAGAAACACTTTTGAGCAGCTAGTCAGTCATTTAACTTATTGTCAGTTGTTGTTGTTCATGCTGTTTTTCATGTACTGCACTATTAAAAGTTTCTGCTGTGAAATCAGCTGTTTGTTATTGTTGTACAAAATTGAAATGAGAAACAGCTCCTTAAACTACAAAGTTGATTAAAAAAATGAATGAATGTTTTAGTTTCTCTGTATTCTATATATGCTGTTTGTAAAATTTGACTTTAAAATGTTCACTTTCTTGACACATAATTACGGAGAAATTAAAGTGTTAGTAAAATGATGCATTCAGCAGGTGAAAATAAAAGCTTGCAAACTCTACATGCTTTTCCAGAAGAATTTTTATTCTTTGCCACTCATCTCTTGCTGGAACGTTCATGTGCTTTATCTTACTTTGTAGTTTGGACACTTATTCAGTTAACTTGCTTATGCATTGAACTACAAAATCTGATAACCTCTTATGATCAAATCAAAGTTTTGTATAGGAAAGAACAGTTCAGTCAATGTTCTCATTGCAAAGAGGATTGTGTGTTTCTCCTGTTATGTTCCTCCTAAAATCTTGCCTAGAAATGGATCTATTGATTTACCAACAGAATACTTCCCTTGTTTTGCAGAAACTTCTGCTGAAGTAAAAATGATAGTAGTTGGTCTTTACACACATCAATAAGAAGGGGCATTTTCCGCTGGCAATGTTACAGCATGTCCAAAGACATCTAGTTAGAGTTAATAGACAAGATACTAGTACTTTTTCCATCTTTTATGTTAAGCACCTGCATCATTCAAGGCTGGAGTTAACTTTGAATATGACTTAGAAGAGGTACCGTGTTAATGTAGTGACTTAAAGTTGATTGCTGACTGTTTAAAATTGGTCAAGCCATGAAATATGGAAAGGTAGTTATTGTTCACGGATGGAGAAGTATATGGTGGGGTATGACTAGAACCACCTCTAAGACAATTCAATCCAGCTATGCTGGAAGTTTAAATAATATTCTAAACATCAGTGGTAAACATTAATGATATTTAAGAACTACTTTCCTGGGTTCTGCAAGATTGATTCCTTGTGCCCCAAGTATGATTTTCCTATTGCAAGATTAACTTTCTATTAGTTTTAGCACTGAGGTCATTCAAAATGAGATTTTTGTGCATTGTGAAATAGTGCAATGCTTGCAGAATCTGTGCTGAAGCTTGCTCAGGAAAAAAGGAAGTTGGAGTTACTTGAGAATATTCATAGTATACTTAACAAAGAAGAAAAATCCTGCAGAATAGTGGAAATTGGTGAGGGCTGGCCAACGTTGCAAATACTGCTGTTATTTTCAGCCATTCAGAGGAGAGAATGGGCAGACTTTGACAGAGGTATGCATACTCTTTACCTGCTTGGTTTTTAGTCCGTGGATTTTTTTATGTGCACATACACCTACCATTTTCAGCAATATAACCTAAGTTTGAATGGAAGGGTGTGAGTTTCCTTTTCTGTAAACCACGTTATCAATATAACCACAACTACCTACCAACTCAGACTTTGGAATGCGTGCAACAACTGAATTTCTCATTTCTCAACATCATTGTTCATGGTTCATTACCAGCTCTTGAGTTTGCTGAGGAGCAGCTTTGCTGTTGAAAACAATGCTGCCTTTCTGTTTCACGTATTCCTATATTGTTTGTGTGTTAATAACTGCCATCGTTCATGGAATGAGGCTTGAAAAGATTAAGGGGAAAAAATGATCATTTTGTTACTAATTGCATTTCCAGCTAAAATAACTTTGATTGAATTTGCAGTGATAGCAAGATGAGGGAGTAAACTCTTGGCTTGGCCTAGTGATGTGTTCTCTAAAAAGAGATTCCTTCCTAGTATTGTGTATTTTGTGTTGATCTTATGGCAAAGCTGCCAGTGTCTTTCTAAAACTCTGTGCTTACCGACAAATATGGATTCCATATTTAAAATGGAAGGGGATTCTACAATACTATTTTTGAAATTAGTTTCTAATTAAATTTAGATATCTTTGACTTATGATGAAAATAAGGTACTACATTAGTTACTGCTGACATTAGACTGTAATAATGAAATGAGCTTACACAATGTTATTCTTTCTCTAGAAGAACTAGTCAAAGCTTAGTAATATACCTTCACAATTATACTCCGTTCATATTTACAAATATCATCCTCTAGAATTCACTCAAGTGCAGAATTTGTTATATTAATGTACAAACCTCTTGTGAGATTTTTTCCTCCTTCCTCTTTTTTGAAGGGAATTACCAGAACAGGTTGTTCAGAGAGATTGTGGATGCCCCATCTCTGGGGGTGTTTAAGGCCAGGTTGGGTAGGGCCCTGGGTGACCTGATCTAGTCATTGATCTAATGGCTGGCAACCCCACCTGTGGAAGGGAGGTTGAAACTTTATGATCCTTGAGGTCCTTTCCAACTTGAGCCATTCTATGATACTCCTTTATAGCTACATTATGAGTATAGTGAGCGTAATGTACGTTTTGTAATCTAACAGTGTGTCCTGAACTTTTGTACAAGATAGTGCCAAGTCAACTGCAGCAAACTGATGAAAGAAGACTCTTGCTATTATGTAAGAGAAGGGTGCTGTGTTTCTAGGGCAGAGCTCAAGAAACCAGAACTGCATCAAATTCACTATTTTCTTGTGGAGAGCTTGCTTTTTTCCTAGAACAGGAATGAATTGCTGTAAATTCCTGATCTTTTCTGCCTGGTGATTTTTGTATGTTTAGAACCTTATGGCCTCTTGTGACAATAAATTAGAGAGTTACTAAATTATACCTCACATTAAATTTTTTATAATCAGTTATAACCTCTGGATGTTGTAAAATGTCAGATAAGCAAGTCTGGGAAATTCCTGAAGCATGTTGAAGACTATTTCCTGTTACAAGTACTTAGTGAGCTAACCAGGAAAGGTGCATTCCTACATTCCTGTTGTTTGAGAATAGAGAAGGCCTTATGGAGATATGATGGTAGTTGGCTGTTTTGGCCACAGTGATCATGAAATAGTTGAGCTCCAAATATTTGATGTAATGAGAAAAGAAGTCAGCAGAATTGCCACCCTGGATTTTAAGAGAGCAAGCTTGAAACTAGTTGGGGAGTTAGCTGTCTGTGTGCCTTGGGAGTCACACCCAATGGGTTTGCAGATCTCTTAGAGGATTTTTTTTTTTGAGGACCACCTTTTAAAAGCCCAGCGGTTTGCAATCCCGCTCTACCACAAATGAAGCAAGTGGGGTAGAAGACTGGCTTGACTGAATGGGGAACTCTTGGAACAAGGGCAGAACCATGACAAGCAGAAGAAAATATACATCTGGAAGCAAGGTCTTGCTTCACAGGGGCAGTACAGTGCTGCAGTTTATATCTCTTGGGAGAAAGCAAAAAAAGCCAGAGCTTGACTTGTCAGTATAATGTCAGACAGTGAAAAAAGGCAAGGTCTGAGGAAAACATTGGACTGATACTTGATGGTCACCTAGGAAGTAAGGGATGAGTAAAAGGCAGAGGCATTTAATGCCTTTTTTTTTTTTTAACTTCGGTGTTTAAAATTAATGACTTGGGCTGCCTGGTCCTCTGTGCTGGAGGACCTTGGGAGAGAAACAGCTTTTCAGTTGCAAGGGACCATCAGTTGAATGTTCATGGGATCTGGTGAGATTCACCCCATAGTATTAAAGGAGTTAGCAGATGTTTTATAGCTGGGTCCCTCTCAATGATTTACTGGGGGTCTTTGTAGGCTGGGGAGGTTCCCATTGACTGGAAATGTTCCCTTCCAACTGCCCTATTCAATTCTATGTACTGCCCATTAAGACCAGAATTTGCTATCTTGCTTTCAGAAGCCCTGCTATCACCCCTCTTGCAGTGTTTTTTCACTACTCTTCATTTTTGGCTGATTTGCCTGTGGTTACCCTAAACCTTTTTCATTGGCGCTTTTGACTGCATGAACATCCAAGAACTGTATCTTAACCCATTTGAGCAATCACTTGTCAGGTCACATTTTTGATCTAGACCTGAACTTCCAAGATTGGCCAGACTAAGAACCTTCTTGATTTTCTGGGCAGTTTCACGTGTCTGAGCGTGTGTTCTGTCTAACTGGTTGCATATTTTTGAGTCTTTATAAACCACGCTGTCCTTCCATGCACCTCCTTCTCCCCCCACCTGATTGAAAACAAAGCTTTATTGTCCAAATTATTTGTGACATAGCTGCTTTTCTGCTAGGTCTGAGGAATCAAGCTGTATCTGTTTGGTTGCAATTAGTACGTGCGGTATTAGTATGTCCTGTTCCTTGGCAAAGCTTTCGAAAGATTAGAGAAATGGCGGTAATATCTTGGTTTTTATAATTTCCAGTGTAACTTTCCTGAGAAGTTGAGAACAGTATACTTTAGTAGTTTCTGTCTAGTACTTCTTTTTAATACTTCTTTTTTAATACTGTCCAGCTGTGGGCTTGGAAAGTGTTACTGACTTTGACTTGAGTCAGTTGAGATTTTACTGTGGCATTAACCGTCTGGGTTGAAGATCCATTCAACTATATTAAAGAAAAAGTAAGAATGGTAACTACCCTAAGAAAAAAAGTCTAAACGATAATTAAACTGGCTGACCGAAGTGGAGCAAAGAGACCTTCTGTTGTCTAAGTCTGTGTCATCTCTAAAAAGGAAGATGTAGAAGCAGCATAAGGAAAGTATATTTAAATTCTAGCTTTGAGAGGATGTTAAACTTCTGCTACAGCAGAAGTCAGATATTGCATGGAGAGGAAGGTTTAGACTTGATTCCAGGTTTTGCTTTTGACTTGGGAAATCCCTGTGGGTTGTGCAAACATTCAAGTGTAATCTTTGCAAGCCTTCCTACATTGCTTTATTACCACTAAGAACAGGACAAATATTTAATATTAGAGTTAGGTGCTCTTTGTTTTCTAAGAAGGAAAAATGGGAAATGTCTGAAAAGTGCTTGTTATGTTTGTAACTGAGCTGATGATCTTGTTATCTGCTGTACTGGTTTTTTGGAAGATATTTTCATATTGGTTGATCCAATTGTTGAGGCCTTCAAGAGATGGAAAGGAAGAAAAATGGGCATGTGAGTAACAAATACAGAGTTCCTGGGAGGAGTTTTATTTTACCCTTCTTACTGATGTGTATTTCACCTTGTTCTGCTCTATCGTTTCCTGTGGAGAGAAGTCCTTCATAAAGTCTTGAGTTGGTTCATGTAACTTCTACAAGTGGAAAGCTATTGTTGCAACAGATCTGCGTTCACTTAGAAACTGAGTGTTTCTGCTTCATTTCTGTTTTGTTGGAGATAGAGTATCATAATCATTATGGTGTTGGTCTAATTCTTCTTTTTTCCCAAGATAACAGCTTTGAAAATATTATTTTCTTCTTCAAGGTACGGAATATATGAAAGATGTAGAGAGTTGGTGGAAGCAGGTTATGATGTGCGACAACCAGACAAAGAAAATGTGACACTTCTCCATTGGGCTGCAATCAACAACAGGATAGATCTGGTGAAGTATGTACTATTTATAAAGATTTATATAAACTAATTACATTCTTTAAAATGTTGATTTTATTTTTTTTAAAGACCATTAGCTGCATTGGCTACTTCCATTAAATATGTTCTCTAGTGAGCTTGGTATCACGTAGGTGATGTTCAGGTCTAAGTGATCTTCTCTTGCAATAGCAGATCTCAGTGCCTGTCTTACCAGCTGTGGACTATTTTAGGTCATCCCGATGAAGGAGTTTAGCAGTTTGTGTGTGGAGAGTGCGAACTTGGAATTAGACTTCCCTTGCTTTTTGACGTTCTTCTGTTGTGAAACTTGGGATTCAGCCTAGATAGGTTTGAAGTCCATGGATGCTTCGTAATGAAAACTACGGAACCCTTTTTTATTTCTACAGGATCAGGGAAAAGTGTTCCATAAGTGTCAGACATCTCTAATGTAAAAATTCTGTTTAAATGATTGCACTATTTTTTTGTTTGTTTTTGACTCAATTTTATGAAAAGGCAAAATTAGCCATGTACCTCTACAGTTACCTAGTGACTGCATTTCACCAGATGCTGCCATTAATATTCTCCAGACAAGGATCTGTCTTCTGCTTTTCCTCTTTCTACCAACAGGAACTGCATGCACTTTAATTCCACAGCTACTGAATCCAAGCATGGGCAGTTTTCAAGTGCTTGGCCAAGACTTAGCGATTCTAATGCGGAAATCACTGGAAGTATTTTCTTCCTAAGCCAACCTATTATAAGATCTGCTTGCTTTGAATGCAAGTAGTTTGCTTAAATAAGACTTGCACACCTGGCATGGATTTCTGATGACTCACGGAGAGTCGTTTAGCTTCTCCTTTCAATAGCATTCTCACCAAGCACAAAATTTAGAGAGATTTACCTGGGCAAGATCAAGTTTTTAGATTAGTTTTGCAAAAAACTCACCATCTATATGTACTGAAGTAGAGTGATAAATCTTAACTTAGTCTAGAACACCCTTAAATAAACATAAGTTATTTCAGTGCACCATCTGGCAGGAGATAGTTGCCTTGTCTTTTCCCAGTTGTCAAACTGGAAGATTGTCATTCTAAATAAAATGTACTAGCCAACAAGCAATGCTGCTACTCAGTAAAATCTGAACATATTCTGCATTTCTGCAGGGACTACTGTTTGAATGGAGACAATCTGTTTAATGTTCACCTCCCTATGAGTGGCTGTCACATCAGTGAGATGGATCCAGGCTTTGCCTGTGAATTTCTGTTGTCTTCTCTAGACAAGATTGCCAGAAAACTTCTTCCCCAAGTGGACTAAATCTGCTTCTTGGTGTCTTTCTGAAATTTATATTTTGGTCTGAATCTTGCTTCACAATGAAATGAAGTCCCGTTAGCTTATGTAAGCTTTGTCTATTCGCTTAACACAGGACCAGGTCTTTAAAAAAAATCCTGCTTGTTCTCTTTAGTTGTCCAAAAGCTTCAGCAGGGAGATGCTGCAGTTTTGTTCCTTTGGTGTCAGAAAGCAGTGAAGTGGACTGTATTGCCCTGATCAGGCTTAGATAACCAGTTTGTCTGACACTGGAAAGTCTTCATATCTGATAGCTTTAAACCTGCTGTGTAAAGGACTCTGCTTTTTTAGCATGAATGTTGTTAGTTAATGCATTCAGTTACTGTTTCTGTAGGTAACCTCTGGACTTTCTTTGTAGCTTCAGTCTGAGAATTGATAAGCACTTGAGCAAAAGAAGGTAGTTGCTTTGAGTAATGATTTTCAGACTGTTATGTTTGTTGTCCTCCTTGCCATCTGCCTTGAAGACATACAGGAAATTGAGGTGCGAGAAGCTCTATGCTGAGGATTTTGAAGGACAGTTTGTATGGGTAGAAGAGTAGGATTCACATAGACCTTGAAGGTATTATGCAAGCAAAAGTCTACAGGCACAGATACTTGAAATGTGCAAGCACTTAAAAATCTGCAGCTAGGTAGCACTTTTCAAAAAATCTATTACTTGTAACTCTTTGCCATTGGCACTTATGGTATTGAATGAAGAATCACTGTTCTCAGCCTTACCAGAAAACTGTTTTTTTAAAAACATGAGTTTTTGTAATAGGTGCATTTTCTTTCACAAAGGAAAAATAATACTGCTGCTTTTTGTGTGCCAAGTAAAACAGCAAGGAAAGCAGTTTGCAGAAACATTACAAATGAGTATGAATATGAGTTGCTACAGTTAAATAACGGATTACTTGCTGTGTTCTTACAGGTAGCTTGTCTGTTTTAAAATGTTCTGGAAGAAGAAATAATTTTTAGGCTGTCATTTAAAAGTATTTTTAAAGTACTCAAATATTTCTGTTCTTTATTTAATATTGTACTTCAACAGAGAAAAGTGTAAAATCTTAAGACTTTGTTTAAAATGTAGCTTAAGCATAAAATCTTGGAACGGTGACATTAGCAGGAGTGTTCCAGTGGTGATGATGCATGCTGTGAGATGAATTACATAAAGCTTTGTCATCTTTGCCAAATTTCTCTGTGCTAGTCATCTAGCAGCATTTCTTTTACTATTAATTCAGAATTATTTTTTATCCTAGTGAGCACCCCAACAAATTTAGAAGAAACTTTTTTTTTAAGGCATATGGTGGCGTGGTTTTTTTAATATACATAGCAATTACTATGTTTTGCTTTAGAACCAAGCTAGGAAATAGCAGCATGCTTAATACACTCCTCACCCATATCAAAAAGGCAAAAAATTGACCTCTGAAAAGGAAATTTAAATGAAGACATGGTGTTTTCCATAATGTTGAACAACATGCTTACTGTGTGTCCTTTCTTTTGAAACAAGATGAATATTTACATTTACTGGTTTTTGTTTTTTTTTTTTGTCATACAGATACTATATATCAAAAGGTGCAATTGTTGATCAGCTTGGAGGAGATTTAAACTCTACCCCACTTCACTGGGCAACAAGGTGAGGAAAAGTCTTGGGATTTTCCTCTGTGTTTTTCTTAACTTGGTATCTGCTACTGATTGATTTATACAGTTGCTGTATTTTATGGGAATACTTGGCAGGGATGAACTCAGTCACTGATGATGCTGTGAATGTGATATGTTTGAGCTACAAGAGCTTTCAGCACGTGGTTTGATTTTTGTCTTATCTCTTTCTGATGCAGAGGAAGATTTCTGTGACAGGAGAAAATAGAATTTGTAATCACCTTGCTTTATTCTTATTTTGAAGATCTTTGCTTTATCAGTGTTCTGGAGATCAGTGTATGTCTATCTGGGGCTTGGGTTGATTTTGTGCGACTTTGTCCTTGCAATTTTCTAGTACATGTGTAGATACTTTAAGAGGCGCTTTAAATCACTCTTATGGTGTAGAAGGTGGCCTGAGGATGATGACTGGCTGGAAGAATGAAGTCAGCCTTCAGTAGTGGCAGACAACTGATAGCAAATAGGAAGGAAAGTAACGTATTAATATTTTTGACAGCAGACTGCAAAAGACTTAGAAAATCGGTTTGTATCAAGATAATTTCTTTACTAAAGATGAGAACTTTTTTATTAGAGCCCTTTAAAAATCTTAGCTTGTGTATTTCTTGCTGGTACAGATCACGTTCTACTTTCTATATGTTAATAGCACAAATATTTGATTACACTTCCTGGTGTTCATAACTATAATCTGTTCTGTGAAGCATTGTGCAAAGCTGCTTCTGACAGACATGAATTGTTCTTTAGCTCATGTTGGTAAGTGTGCTGATAATTGTACACTTTATATGCTGGAAGGATATGTCTTTATTAATTCTGCCAAATAGCTGAGATTCAAATGTATGGAGAAAAAGTAGGCTGCCTTTTTTTTTTCCTTTTCTATTTTTAAAGTAGAAAAATGATACACACTGCAAAAATATATATATATATGTAATCAGTTTGACATCTTTTAAAACAACAGATGTGGATGGGAAGAAGTCACAGTAGGCTAAATATCTGAGCTGATAACTTTGTTGTTGCTGACTGACCTTCTACTTCACAACACACCTAAGCCAATTGCATTGATCTGTGTATTGGCTGCATAGAATTTGCTCACGTGAAAGGATTTTAAAAGTTGGTTGCAGACTCAGATCATGGTGATCACTTTTGTCAAAGTATATATTAAAGGTCATATTTGTTGTTTTAAAATATTTTAAAATTGCATAGCTTACCTGTTTATAGTTATTCAGTTGTTTGTTTTCTTTCTTCTGTTGCATTTAGGCAGGGTCACTTATCCATGGTTGTACAGCTGATGAAATATGGGGCAGATCCGTCGCTAATAGATGGAGAAGGATGTAGCTGTATTCATTTGGCTGCCCAGTTTGGACATACTTCAATTGTTGCTTACCTGATAGCAAAGGGACAGGTAAATTTTAAGTAGTGTCATCTTTCATTCTCTGTGCTCAAAACATTGTTCACTTTTGGTACTTGCTTTACATTATTCTTCATAGATTTACTCAACCACAGGCATGTGCCTGAAGCACAAATTTTATTTATTTTGTAAGCCATACAGAGAAGTCAGAACCCCCCTCTCTTTTTACAGTCTTGCTAATACTGTTCCAGTTCTGTATTGCACTTGTTCTTTCGAATATCAAGTGAGGTATGATCCAATGAGTCTGATGGGGTATGAGTATGAAATTAATTGATTAGTTCTGTTTTCAGCTGCCAAGTGCTATTGTATTGAAAAACAAACACTAGATTTGCTACAGAAAATAATCCGTGTGTATACAATTCTAAAAAACTGCGTTTTGCAACAATCATTTTTTTATCTTAAAATTGTTTGGTGAAACAGTGTGTAGGGTATGGTTGAGAGTAAGGTAGACACAAGAGAAGGCCAGTCTTACATAGTCACTATTTTGCAAGCTTAAATAATGCTCTTATATTATCTTTGCAAGACAAGAAAAGCTCTTTGGTCAGGAACAAGTTTTATGTTTTGTTCACAAATTATCTAAAATGAAAAGCCCATATTCTTACACCAGAAAAATCTTGCAAATGTTCTGTATTTGCAAACTTGTTTAAAGCATAGCATCAATGAAGTATAAATATCCTTTATAATGTTTTGTCATTATTATGAAATCTCACTGTGAATGTTTACTTGCCCTGATGTTTTTATACGGACTTGGCCTATTTATTTATTTGAGCATATAATCTTCACTCTGAGAGAAGCTGTGTGTGTTGTGTACATGGATGCAAAAATCTTACTTTAAAATTTGAGTCCTATTATCTTGGTAACAGGTCTCTTTACAATAGCTCTCTCTTTAAAAGAGTAAGTCTTAGTAAATCCCCCAGTGTAATCAAGCATGATTTCAGTGTCCTTTGCATGCCTTTTCAAGTTTGAATTAACACTTATTTCAAGCACTTCAGAAAAGATGAATTAAAGTTATATATTGATTTGTATACTTAAAATATAATAAATAATGTAATTATAAATAGTACTGTAATAGCAATCCCTGAACTCAAAGTTTTCTAGCTATACTACGGTAACTATTCAGGTTCTGTAGAGGCTATGGGAAATACATGATTCTACTTTTTATTCTTCTTTAAAAGTGCATACAAGTTTGTTAATCATGGAGTAATGGAATCATTTGAGTTGTAAAGGATCATTAAAGGTCCTCTAGTCCAACTCCCCTGTAATGAACAGGGACAGCTACAGGTAGATCAGGTTGCTCAGAGTCCTGTCTAGCCTGATGTTGAATATCTTCAGGGGTGGGGTGTCAGCCACCTCTCTGGGCAACCTGTTCCACTGCTTCACCACACTTTTGTTAAAAAACAAACAAAAAAACCCAACGTTTTCCTTATATCCAGTCTGAATCTCCCCTTTTTTGATTTGAAACCATATTCTCTTGTTCTATCACACCAGTCCCTGCTCTTTGTTGACATGAATATTTACTTTCTTTATAATATAATGATTTGGATTTGGAAACTTAAACTACTTTTGTTCATGTAGACTTACCCTATTAGTCTTGTAAGCTTTTTTCCTTTTTCCTTGACAGAAATGAGGCTCTCTTACATTCTGAGAATAGGCTTGTGTTTGTTCCGAACCTAATTGTAGTATCTGGGTGATGAAAGGCATGTAGGTTTAAACAGAATCATGGAAGTTGGAAGGACCGTCTGGTCCAACCTCCTAATCAAATACAGACACCTAGAACAGGTTGCCAGGCACCCAGCCCATGCAGCTTTTGAATCCACAAGGGGGATGATTTCACAACCTCTCTGGGCAACAACCTGTGCCAGCTCTCTTTCGCCTGTCAACACTGAGCATCATTCTTGCAGCAGCAATAAGACCAGGGGAAGCTGCTAAACCAAGCATTTACTCCCTAAACCTACACAAGAGTGCATTAGTTACGGAAGTGTGAGGCCTATCATGATTCTTCTTTACGGCTGTTGAAACAATCTCTGATGGACTAGATTATTCAGAGCAGACCTCTTGTTCAAAAGGGAAAGTTAGCTTCTTTTGCTTGCCATACCTGGCTTGGTAAGTTGCCTGTCAGTCTGCACTAGATTTGTTTCACTAGAATCCTATAAAGTCTTTTCTTTTGGAGAATAGCTGGTACATCTTTTCCAAATTAGAAAATGTTTTCAGTTGTACATCCACCTTCCTAATAAATTTTCTTTACTATTTGCTTTCTTGTGTGCTATTTCTTTGAGAGTCTGTTTCGTTTTCTCTGGCTGACAGTCCGTGTCTGAACAAGGAAAAGAGATGTTTTCCTTGTTCAGATTCCTGTTCTTCATAAGCATGTGATGGATCTTTTTATAAAGCCTGTGATACGTGAAATAACCAGTAATGTTTCTGAAGATTATCAAATTCCCAGTCTGTTTCTGTGCAATGCAGTGTATTTTTGGCTGGAATCCCTTTATGTTTTTTGTGCTTTTGAGAAGGCTGTATTATAACACAGGACTGGCTTGAGCACTGCTATTGAAAAGCCCTGGTAAGCCCAAGTGTTGCTGTGATCTCTAGTGATTGTTCAGAATTCAAACTCATCAGCTGTGTTACTTCAAAAAGTGGTGTCAAGCAGCAGAATTAGTTGACACAGCTCCTTTTCATGTAGGAAGCTGTTTCCTCCCCTGTGTTTTTTACCTCTGGAAGCTTCTTGTGGAATCCTGTATTAATGCTGCAGAACTAAAATCTGGCTAATCTTTAAAGTCGTTCTCTTTCAGAGCCGGAGTTATCCTATTTCAGATATGTTTTAAATAATAACTGATGTTGGTCTGTTCTCTCGTTTGAATTACATACACAGGATATAAGTATACTTTTTATCATTGCATGACTGTATTTGGTATTGAAATCTGGCTCTTGTAATACTCAAATTCCTGCCTTAGCAGCATAGACAGCTGTCCAAGAGCATTATCAGATTGACCCGTCACCAGGCGTTAACAAGTTAATGCTGGGATGCCTGTTGGCTCACATGAGAAAAGAACAGTCTTCTGATGCATTATACATTGTTGAAGGTTTACTTTTTTACCTCAGCACTCTAACAGAAGAACAGAACTTTCTTTCTGAAATGTGCTCTTTTGTTGTGTGAATGTAGCGTTCATCTGGCAGAATGACAAAGAATTTTTGACAGGAGCTTTGGTAGACAGCATCTCTTCTGTCCATGTTGTGCATCATTTTATCGTGCACATAAAACTGCATGTGTCTTAGTTGCTTTGTCACTTGCTATGGTTCCTTTGAAGGGGGATCTGCCTCAGCCATGTTGGAGCTTGGTATGAGTAATAGATGTAGCCTGCTCATCTAGTATAATAATATGGAGCTCATCTTTTTTCTTCCTCTTTTCACTGTCACCAAATATGCAAAACGTAATTTCAATTTGTCTGATGGTATCACTGAAGGAGTCCATTTTACCTCCTTCCAAGCAATCAGGTGTCTGTTGATCACAAAGCATTGCATTTCTGCATGTAATCTAAAAATTAAGAGTGATTGTTTGTCTCATTAGTACATGCATGTTTAAAAGCATGTAGTTCCACAGTGCAACCTGTGAATCGAAGTCATGCTTCTTAAGGATAAATGACCTTGAGGTTCGGCTGTGGTTCTAATTTCCTTCACAATCTTGGTGACAGGGGCTTGAAGGGAGTGAATGCCAACAGTTGTGTGGCTTTAGGAAATTCTAAAGGATATAGTCTATGTGCATACATAGAGGAAATAGACTTAAATATTGGTCTCAGTAAGTGCAACTTGTTTCTCAATATGCTGGGCATTAAAGTAGTGGTTCTCCATCCTCTTATCAGTTGCTTTTTATTTCTGATTTTTAATTTTATTTTTTTAGTTTAGCAATTGAGAAAAATTTTAAAATGAACAGGTATCTGCAGTCTGGGGATCTTTTAAAAGCAGTTATTTAGTTATTTAATAGAACTAAATTGGATTTTCTGGAGAACTTTTGTCTGTGTCAGGCTAGTAGCACAGTGGGTGAGAGTGCCATACTTCTGGGTGTTTGGCAGATAGCAAAGCAGGGAAGTGGCAAGAAAGCTACATCTTATACAGTTTGAGTTTTTCTCAAGAGTTTCTGAAGTAAATGGTTTTATTAAAACACTTTCAAAAAATTTTCTTAGTAAGGGCTGAGGGAAGTAGCATAGGAGGTACTGATATAGCTCTGCCACCGCTAAGTATAATTGTTCTGGTCTTGAATTTAGTTTAGAGTAATTTTGCGCTGCCAGGCTGTGGAACTTGCTCACGTGTGCTTGAGGGTCTGATCTGGCTCTTAATCTATATAGGAGCCACCAACTTCCTTGCCTCACTACAGGCAGAGATCTATAACAGGACAAAACACTGTAGGTAGTAGATGCTTTCCTTTCTGATAGAAGGTAAATAATCATTTTATTTCAGATGTTCTGCATTCTGCTGTTTTATCTACTTGAACAAAAACACTTATCTCAGCACATTTCTTTTTTTTTTTAGGATGTAGATATGATGGATCAAAATGGGATGACACCTCTAATGTGGGCAGCTTACAGAACACATAGGTAATACATATCCTCACTGCCGTTTTTACTTAATCTTGGTGTTAACTATGTACGTCACTTGGAATAATGACTGATTTTGAGTTTTTGAGAGTGCTTTCGTTTAATTAGTCGGTTGCCACTTTATCTTTCTTAATTTGTGACCTATTCCAGACAGAAGATACAATCCAGATATACTCAGTATTATGATTTTTTTTAATTGAGTAGATCTTCTTATGAAGACTGCTGAAACAAATTGGTGTAAAAAGGCGATTCTCCAAAGAGCAAGTTAGTTTGAATTAAACAATTTGTCTCCTTTGTTTGTTGAGTGAAGGATAAGTGAGTTTTTGCAAATACCTGCCATTCGCCACCAGCATTTTTTATTTGCATCTTTTGGAATGTGAAGTGGAAGTCTGAAATATTTAGAACTTTGATATACTGCCTGTATAATCGTTTGTTTTCTTTTACAAATCTGTGTTACTACTGTTGTTGAGACGCATGATAACAGAATTACGTACTAAATGTGTTGCATGACATTTCAGAAGAAACTCCTTTTAAATTCAACAAAATTGCAATTGTTCTTTGGTGAGAGTAGAATTTGAGCCATTGATAATCATTAACAAATGTCACCTACATAATGTAAGTGGTGAACATTCTGTACAGAAGTTGAACTCGCTAACAAGAAGCTGGAATGTATTGAATTCTTTTGTAGATCTAATAAGACTTTTCTTTTCTAGTGTGGATCCAACCCGATTACTACTTACGTTTAATGTTTCTGTTAATCTTGGAGACAAGTATCACAAAAACACAGCATTGCATTGGGCTGTTCTAGCAGGAAATACTACAGTTATTAGTCTTCTGTTAGAAGCTGGAGCTAATGTTGATGCTCAGAATATAAAGGTAAACAGTCTGTTTTTATTGTAAGTGGTTTGAGATAGAAATCTGAAAAATAAATTATTCTTGTGGGTATGGTGGGATCGTGAAGATGGAGCAAAAATCATGCCATTAACTTTTATCCAAGTGTCAGTGTTTATTAACAGTGATGTGTAACTACTAAATCTGAACTTTCAAAAGTACCCATGTAAACAGGTTATGGTTAAGTATAAATATATTAGGGGTGGGGTGCACCTTTAGATGGCATACATGATGTGCCATTTATTTGGATGAAAAAAAAATCTGGCTGTACATATTCTAGTGAAGTTTTGGGGTGATTGTCTTTTTGAATATATTGAGATGTGGGAAAGTTCATCTCCCAGTGGCAAGGAAATTGAAGACTGAAAATACCAATAAGAGTAGATTACAAAAAATGGGCTCTTTCTCGTATCAGAACTTCAACTTGCCTGGTTATTTTGCCAGAACTGCTTAATGAAGATTGATTCTGCACTAACTTAGCCCATCCTTAGCATGTGTTAGACCAGCCACAAAGCTGTTAGAATTTATGTAGTAGGCATGGAGTCTGTAAAAGCAACTTCTCTGATGGAGGGTGCGCCTATTCAATCCTTGCTCTGCAGTGTTTTTGTCCAGTGCCTGTCTATTACTGTTATGTACAGCAAATCAGATGTACTTTATCGCCTGAGTTGTTTCTTTTGTGGTGTCAGAATTCAAGTTTAGAAAAAGAATTTTCCACTACTCCCTTTCTCTTCAAATATTTGTATTTCTCACATAATATTGAATGTTATAAATGTTGTAGGTAGACTGCAAAAATACAGGTCCACCCCTGCATTTATAAAACATTAAATATCTAATTAATTTGACCTTTCACCATTTTTCCTGCCAGTTAAGATGGCCAGGCCTTACTTCAGTTGGAACAAGTGATAGAAATATGCTTAAAACAGACAAAGCTAATCATCCATTTTCTTGAACAGCATGTAACAGTGTTTTTAGGGATGCATTTCAATTTACTTATAGCTTTCTACGTTCTACATGCAATAGTTATGTATTCATGCAAATATGTTTCCTAGTTTGTAAGGTCACTTGTGAGATAAATCTAGCCAACTTCTTGCAAACTGTTAAGAAGCTCAAGCTCTTCTCTGTGCCACCTAATGGTAAAAATTAATAAGGAGGTTTTTTTTTGTGGAAAAAGATCAGTGTGTCATAACTTGCTTCCCTTGACAAACTGATTAGTTCACCTGAAGTCCTCACCTTATCTACACTTCTGGACTCCTGTGAAATCTGTAATACAAATTGATATGTTTGGCCAACTGAAATGATACCAGCTAGCCTGCAGCAGTTACGTTATTGACAGACAGCAGCAGTCAGTAGGAAAAATAGGCTTTTGAACCTGCTGGATCATGATGTCTTTCCAGTCATGCCAGAAGAGACACGTGCCTGGTTTCATTATCTGCAGTGGAGTCAGGATTACTTGTATGCCTTCCTGTTGGTTTCTGGGATCTTCAGATGTCAAAATCCTTCTAGTAGGGATAGTTTCACCATCCTGTCAGTATTTATAAAGGATGTTGATTTGGGTGATTTATTGTATGTTCATCACAAGCACATAATAAATATGAAATTGTTATCAGCTCTAGGCAGCCTATGTTAGAAAACTGCATGTTGCTGGCTTTCAAGTTTTGGAGCAGGTTGGAATTAGTTATCTCAATAATGTCCTACTTCTGTGTTGCATGAGAATTTGAATGCTATAGTGGAGAAGACCTTAAAGGAAAATACAATCACACTATTATTCCAGAATAAATCTTGATAATTTGGAGGATAAAAAAATAAAAAAGGAGAAAGAAAATGTCCATCCTGGAAGTAAAATCATATAAAGAAGCAATGTGGATTATTAATACCTAAATGTGTATATATCTTTGGTACAGTTGTTTCAAGTTAATCAGTGGATTTGTCCTGTTCTTGTTATTAATCCTATTTGTATTATGCTGTGCAAGAAAATAACAATTTTCTTTTGGTAGTAAGAAAGGTGGGGTTGTTTGTATTTTTTTTTTCTTTTGAGACCCAGATTACAATTGGAATTGGAAGCTTTTTAGTAGTCAGGGGAGAGTTGTGGGTTTTTAAGTGTCTTGCCTTAGTAGCAGACAGACTGGGCAGATAAGGACAGGATTGCACAAGAACTCAGCTTATAATTGGAATTATATAATTAAAATCTGTTAATAAATTGCTGAATAGATAGTAGGTGTAGTTTGCTGATTATGCAGTGTATCCATAGGTTTGTCTGTGGCAGTCTACATGTAAAGTTCCCTATGGTAACGATGCTTCAGATTATTCTTTCTGTCTAATCACTCAAAATATATACTCTTGAAACCTTATTGCTTTCTGTCAGTCCAAGTTGTTTACTGGACCATGATCCCTGATTTTTTTAATTGCTTTTGAAGCAAGTCAGCTATCTGTCCCTGTGAATACAAGGAAAATATTAAAATACCCAGATGATTAGACACATAGTCAAAAGATTTCTTTAAAGCTCCCTCAATCTTTTTGTCTAGGCAGTTCCTAGGTGTCTCATGGCCCTCTAGTGGAAGGGATGCTCAGCTGGACCCCAAGACAACTTCAGGATTTACTTGGGAGATGAGCTCCCAGAGAGAATTGCTTGTCCACAGGTAATCTTTATGGTCTGGAAATATAAAGTGATATTAAGAAAAAAAAAGAAAATCGTGTGATGTCTGGAGTTTTCCAGATACTAGCAATTCAAAATGAGATGCCATTAAATTTTGTCATGAAGCAGGCTCCATAGTTTGATTTCAGGCATTTCTGCTGAGAATCAAGAGGCCTCAGTCTGTTTCTTAATCATCTATCAAAAGGATATTCTTTTCTTACTGATTCTGGTAGTTGAATTTTTTGGACAGGCAGCCTGCAAGATCCTGTTAGTCAGCAAAACGCTTCACCTCATAATCTGTAGCTTGTGCTGTTTGCCCTTCTTCTAGAGATCTGGAGCAAGATTTCAAAGGCAAAGGTGACAGCTAAGTCTTTCTGTGCCATATAGATAGCTAACTGTCTTTTTTGTTTTTGACACCTCTTCTGGTTATAGTAATGATTGCCCTTTGTGGGTAATTTCAGTTTCTGGTACCTGTCTCACTTTTTTTTTAGGAGGGGGCCAAGCGATGGAGGATTCAGCCATTTTTCAAGCCTCCATGAGTGCTTTGTTTAGGAGGGGATTTAACTCCAGTAGAAGAGAGGAGGAGTCAAATGCAAAACTGAAGCTGGAGGTACCTGCAGTTGGTTGTCTCTTGCCTCCTCTATAATTTTAGACCCAGTCAGTAGGTTTCGTTTAGCTCTCTTCCTTAAAGTTTAAAAGCAGTGATATCAAATCATTCTGTTAGGCACCTTTGGCCCCTGTATCTCTCTCTCTTTTTGCTTTGTCTGTCAGTTCTCTTAAAGTAGGGAACATGAAAGCATGGACTGTTGCTGGCTTTGCACCCAAAGTATGTGAAGCACGAGCCAAGCATCAAAGCTCAGACTTATGGGATAAGTTGTACATGAGCAGTTAATTCTTTCCCATTTTCTTCCTTGATCTTCATTAACTAGACAAACTTAGAACATTAAACTTTTGGAAAAAAAAATCCTTATTTAATAAATTCTATGATATTAGTAACTTCACTCTGCAAAGAAAGCAGAGAATTAAGTCAGGCTTTAGACTGGGAGAGTTTTCATGATCCAGTGGGTTATGAGTTCTATTTCTTTACTGGATTTCTGCTGCCTGTCAATAGCTAAGGAAGAAGCACAGTCTTTCTTTTAGACTGGTGGGCTGTGTATGGAGCAAGGAAACAGATATGTTATACCAAAGGCAACAATTACTACTATGTCAAGACATGTATTGTCAGAATTACTTAATATTCTGTTTGACCACTTGTATAGTTATGAGAGTGTGAAAAAGATCAAAAAGAATGATGAATGAATGATGATTGGTGTCAAGTATGCTGTAAAGTATAAAATAAATAATAAAAACCAATGCCATAATTCTGTTTCAAAAGTGCTCTGAATGCATTTTATTTTTAAATCAGATTTTTTCCCACTTTTATGCTCTTCGCAGGGAGAATCACCACTTGATCTAGCAAAACAGAGGAAAAACGTTTGGATGATCAATCACCTACAGGAAGCAAGACAGGCTAAGGGATATGACAGTCCATCCTTTCTGAGGAAACTAAAAGCCGATAAGGTGAGTAGTACAGCACTTGCGTAAGTCAGTGTTACTGCTGACTTTGGTGAGAGGGGGGAGTCATGTTTGTTCAGTGTAAGCAATTCAGTAATGTATATTCCCCATGTTTTAGTTCTAGGAAATGCTGTCTTTTAACACTAAAAAAATTATAAAAGAAAAATAAAACAGCAGAGCAAACAACAGCAACAAAACTGCAACCCACCATAAGCCTCCACAGTAACCTTTAGCTTTTGTGCTGCTTAAACATTAAGAAAGTGCCGAGCAGTTGTACTGTTGGAGGAAAACCAAGATTGTTACAAAGCTGATTCTCAAGTATGTAAGAGAAAACAATGCTTTAGATACCCAGAACACGGATCTCCTCACTGTTATGTAGTATTTTGTGTTCAGTGACTAAAACAGTTGGCGTTAACAGTCTTACAGTGGCATGAGAATCTTTAATGTGGAGGCCTTTTTCTGCTCAGGTTAGTATCTTATGCTGTGGAGAGGAAGATACAAGAAATGAGGGTATATAGGGTTAGTCTAGCATGAGAAACTGTCTGTTTGCCCAGTCTGAGGACTTGTGTACTGTTACTGTTTTCTTATTGGTGAAAATACTGTGCTGGGTATTAAGTGTTGCTGTAGTTTGTAATTGTTTCTTGATTTAAATAGACACAGCATCTTGATGATTAAGGCACTAGCTAAAGCTTCTGCTGTAATGGTATGGCCATACAGTAATGCAGCAAGTATGGCCTTTATGTGATCTGTGCATTGCATTATCTGCAAGTGTGCACTTTCAGTATCCAGAAAAATTTGAAAGTTCCTTAAACAGGAACTGTAACTACATAATATGACCTATCGCTCTTCATATAGTCTTCAGTTTGGCAGTCTGTTTCTTACAACACTTTTGTCTAGGCAGTTTAACGTGACCTGAGATCATCAGCACTATAATCTATAATATCTCACTGCATTCCAATGCTTTTAAAAAGTGCCTTTATTCTGGATTAGTAAAATCTCCAAAAGGTGATTCTTATAAAACAAATAGCTAACCTGTTACAGATTTTAGGAAATTTTTTTTGCATATATGCTGCAGATACATAAGTATATGTTGATAAAAAAAAAAACTTGATACAAGTTATTGTGAATGTCTTTTTTATTATAGAATATTATTATACAACTTGTTCCTAAAAGCAGAATTACTTACAGATATTTGTTTCTTTGTAGGAATTCCGTCAGAAGGTGATGCTGGGGACTCCTTTCCTAGTTATTTGGCTTGTTGGGTTCATAGCAGACCTAGACATTGATTCTTGGCTCATTAAAGGGCTGATGTACGGTGGTGTTTGGGCTATGGTACAGTTTCTTTCAAAGTAAGTGTTTAGCCTGCATACAAGAAGTGTTTTTTGGCATCTCATTTGTTGGATAGATAATCTTAAATTTGTTTTTCATGTGGTTTTTAGACATACTACTTTATTTACTTATTTGTATCATTATTCCTTGGAAAGGACTCGTGAAGCTTTGCTCCATTGTCTTGCAGATACATATGGAATTGCCTTGGTTAGATTACACTGATCTTATAGAAGCTAACAGCAAAGCAGAAATTCAGTCATTCTCCAGAGGAGGGTGCTGAATGTCTGTCTGACAAGGAGTTATCAGTGTAAATTGTAAAGAAAGCAGTCAATGGAAAAGTTACAGGGACAGAAAAAAGACCTGTGCAAGTATACTATCAAAACCCTGTTTTTGTGCAAAGAGGTGACTAAAGAAAACAGCTGCTTTTTAATAGTGTTGATTTGTTAACTGATCTTAGAGAGCTTTAGATGTTTGTGATTACTTAAATGACTGTAGATGTACATAGATGTGTACGTTCACAGGTGTGCAGATTTTCAGGATCTTTAGACTTCTTAATTTGTGCTTTGCTTTTCTTTGTCATGTATGGTGTGTATAGAAGAACCTGCTATATAATTGTACTTAGAAGCCATCTCCTTTTCTGGCATTGAATATCATGGTTTTTTTAGATCCACTTGCTCCTCCTTCCTTTCTATTTAGAGGGAAAGAAAATATTTCTGCTCCATAAAACAAGTTCATGGAATCTAAATATTGTTAATATGTATGGGAAGGGTGGTCATCAGACTGATGCCTCTGAAAGATCTTTGAGAAAATCTGTTCAGTTGTCTTGTTATTTGAAACTGTTCAATCTACTGACCTCTTTCTACTGCTAGATCCCTTGGTAATGCAAATCCTCAACCACACTTCCTGCAGGCAGGGATGACATTTCAGTTTCTCAAGATGTGTGTTGGCATCATTTCTGTTCTATTTTTGATCTACTCGATACCTGCTCAGGATTAACATTATTTCTCTTATCTTTTGCTTAATGTTCAGTTATGTATGATTTTCAAAGTGTTTTTCATAAAGCAGAGATTTGAATGAAACTTTTGCTATTATTTTAGTAATATTTCCTTTGCCTTTTGAATTTTAGCTAATTTGCTTAGCTCTGTTTTCTTCCCTACTTCATTCACCAAAAAAAAAAAGCATATAGGGATCACTGAAGGAATAATTAATGCTGTGTATCCAAATTTATATTCACATTTTATTTACCACCTTAGCTCATCACCTTAGCATTACAGGATTTTCTCAAAAGATTTAAAAAGCTTATATTAAAGGAGTGAGAGCTACTACAAAGGAATACAGGAGTAAAACGAAAACTATTAAGTGCCTGTTAGAGGAGAGTTGCTACGAGGGACTAAAGGAGTAAAATGGAGGCTATTCAGTGTGCAGATAACCATGGCAGCTCAGAGGCACTGTCAGGACAGAAAACCAAAAGCTGCGGTGTAAGGATGTTTAAGCAGAAGTAGTTTTATTTCAAGGAGATAAGCAGTTTAGAAGATGACTTTTCATATGTTTAGCAACTCTTCCTTGAATATGGAGTTACCAAGTCACTAACAGAGTTTGTCCCAACTAAATTCAAATTCTGTGCAGAATATTCTTTAAAATGCAGAGAATAAGAAGGTAAAAAGAATTCTGATGGCTTTATTTTTGTTTTCATTAATGTGGTAGCACTCAGGCTTGGAAATTGGCAAATCTATTGTTATGGGAAATACCTAATTTTCCTCTGATTTTCTATTGGAAACTCTTACAGAAGTGGAAGATTCAAGAATCAGAAATATTTCAAGTATGTAGGCTGATAACACCAAAGTCTCTTAAACCTTTTCCTTCTTGAAGTAATTTTAACATCTATTTTCCATTGTATGGGTTTCGTAAGTATTTTTGGCATTGGAATCTTGTGTGTAAATGCAGCTTGCAAGCACCATCCGTGCTGTAGGTTAGGAATCTCACAGATGTGTAACTGCTATCAGTGTAGTTTTAGATAAGTATCTAAGCATTTCACGTTTCTTATGTAGTTCTTGATTGCTGCAGTGCTGTTTGCTTATAAAGCATTATGCTCAGTGAACCATGGTACCTTCCAAAATAGCAACAGAAAAAACCATGGGTTTTCCAATATTGTGAACAATTTCAAAACAAACTGAAGGCTTTTTTTTTTCCTGTTGAGGAGACCGAGCATTTTGATTTAATGTATGTAACAAAGGTATTATTTTTAAATCAGATAAGGAAATAATATGAGATTATATTAAAGTGAGGATGAGTCCTTATAAGCTAAGACTTATTGATGGATGTTTCTTAAATCAACTATTAACATCTTATTTTCTGTAAAATACATATTTCTGTTATGGCTGTTATCTTGCCCAGGATGTTCAGATTACGTTTACCTCATTTATCTGGTATGAAGGTTTACTTAAAAAAAAAAAAAAAAAAAAGCACAACAAACTTACTTATGACATTTCTTCTGCTCTACAGGTCATTCTTTGATCACTCCATGCACAGTGCATTGCCTCTTGGAATATACTTGGCAACAAAATTCTGGATGTATGTGACGTGGTTCTTCTGGTTTTGGAATGATATCCTTTTCTGTGTACAGTAATATTTTCTTCATGTTAGTAGTATGAGGTAATAACCAGGGTTATTCTTCATGAAAGAGTAAGTATACTACTTAAAGTTTTGAAAGATTGTCTCCATTAAAAATTGTTTTGTGTCTTGATGGTAATTATTTTTTTTACTTTAAAAATATGATATTATTGCTATGCTTCAGAAAGTAGATGATTTTCCTCAAAACTGCCTTACAGCAGTCTGCAAAGTCTCCTATGCTTCCCCAGTTTAAGTGGGGAAATGTAAGCAAGTCCATAAGATAGGCTATGGCTGTGAGCTGATGAATTTTAACTTCGCAAAAAACAGTAGGCAGTTTGATCTGCATTCTAGTGGAGTTACCTTTGTAAGTACTTCTTAAAGGTTTCACAAATTTTGTCTCATGCAAACTGTAGATAAATTTGGTTTAAACTATTTTCAGTCTTTGAAGATGGATGCGTTAGCAATACTAGGTTATAGAATACACCCATCTTTTTATGTTTTTGACTGACTGCCTAGATATGAACTTACGTATTCACTGGGGTAGAAATTGTTTTGGAGTTCAATGAAAAATGCCCTTAGCCTTCTGAGGAAACATTGAAATTCTTAAACAACTTTCTTTTGTATTTTAATTACAATAACTTAAAAACTGAATAGACATTTCATGTTCTTTTTTAAATGTTTAATGTTTGCAAGTAGTTGAAGTGAATTTTATATTTATGATGGATATTAGTCATAAGCTGGGCAGTTTCAGACACCATAATATAAGGACTGGAGAGCATCCAAAGGAGGGCTACAAAGATGGGAAGAGGTTTGAAGGCAAAATGTGTGAGGAGCTGAGGTCCCTTGGTTTGCTCAGCCCAGGGCAGAGGAGCTGAGGGGAGACCTCATGGTGGCATACAACTCCTCAAGAAGGGAGCAGAGAGGCAGACTGAGCTCTGCTCTCTGTGATAGCGACAAGAGAATGGCGTGGAGCTGTGTCAGGGGAGGATCAGACTGGAGGTTAGGAGAAGGTTCTTCACCGGAGGCTGGTCAGGCCCTGGAACAAACTGCCCAGGGCAGTGGGCATGGCCCCAAGCTGGTGAAGTTCAAGGAGTGTTAGGACAGTGCTCTCAGACGTAGGGTCTGATTTTGTGTGGTCCTTTGTGGAATTAGAAGTTGTGGTGATCCTGGTGGATCCCTTCTAACTTGGGATGTTCTGTCATTCTGTGATTTCCTGGAAAGGGTTTTTCTGTTTCAGAGAAATTATACCATGATACAAGGTAGTAGCAATGCAGTCATTTTATTCTCAATATGTTCTTCAACCTTAGCTCATGGTTTTGATTGAAGATGGAAGTGTAATTTTCCATGTCTGACAGAATGGAGTGGATAGTCTAAATACACCATGCCTTTAGAGTGAAGTTGCTTTTCTATTATTTTTTGGTGAGAAAATATGCCTGACTTCTGGCAAGTAGTGAAATGAATCTTTCTCAGGCAGGTTTAATAACTGCAGCATCTCATTTCTGATCTCTCTATACCTTGTAGGGTTTGTTTAGGAACTCATGGTTGAGTAGCAAATGTTGAGATACCTTGAAAAGCTTTCTTGTGCTAATATAATATCATCTTGAACCGTATGTATGTGCTCAGTTTTAAGTTGGAGTTCTTCACTGGGTTAGAATAGCTTCTACAGCCGACATGGCGTGGTGATGGCCTCCATCTTGATGTGAAAAGCTGTGTCTTAAGGCTAGCAAATTATGAGATTTTTCCTGGAGTGTATAGTTTGTTCATATTCAAATGAAAATTGACGTCTTTAATGTGTGCCAGCTTGCTTAGATTTTTATTTCTGATAGCCATCCTGGTTAATGTAACTTGGAGTTTGTCACTGGGTAATGTTCACTAGAAGTAGTAAGCATAGATAGTTAACTAATCTGAAAGTGTGACTTGAGAACATCGATAAAATACTGTATTCTTCTGTAATTTAAGTTTGTCTCAAAACCTTTGCAAAAGCTTTTTTAGGCACAAAAGTAGTCTGAAAGATTCAGTTTCTACTGATTGCATTCATTAGAGCTGACACAATTCTGTGTGACAAGCAGCTTTGGAGACAGTACTTAGGGCCATCTTCCTTTAATTGATGATTTTAAATTGGAAGCCTTTGTAATAAGATTCCAGATCCATTCTTCTTCTGGAAAATTGCCCTGCAGCTTTATTGAAGGGGAAAAAAAAAAAAAAAAGAAATTGCGTGCCTGTTCTATTTTTATAGAATGAGGCACAATGCTGTGGTTGGGGAAAAGATTCTTGTATTTTTACAGCTTTATATAATTACTTACAGCAGACTCAGAGCACTGCTTTATACTCTGTAATGTTCATCTGAAGATGAAACCTGTCCTGGTCATTTCATGAATTGTCACAATATTTTGCTCAGGAAAAATGTTTTGAACTTTAAACTGTCAAATAATGCCTTCCTGGAACTTTAGATGTAATATTACAAGTAATATAAAAATCTTTATTGCTGCAAGCATTACTTTAATATTCAAGTATTTGTTAATAGTTCTCTTTTCTACTAGATTTGTTGAAGGTGTCTGAAACAGCATCTAGTTTGCTGGTTTTAATCCTCATGAGGCAGGAAAGGGCAGTAGAAGCAGTGTATCATAAGGAACATACAAAACCAAAGTTGATCAGTATAATTTCTTGAATTTAAGGATTGTCGCATGGAAAATAAGGTCTTCTATAAATTACAAGACTTAGTGATGTGTCATTTAAAGACCAGTCTTGAAAGTAAATTTGAACAATTTATATGAATCTAATGTGCTTAATTTTGTGCATGTTTCCATTTGATTGAATTTTCTTTGTGTTTTCTGAGACTGATTTATTTGTTAAAATAGAGTACTATTCTTTATAGGAGAGAAGAAATTCCTGAACCATGCATTTACACTTCCCTTCTGCTGTTTTGCCTGTAGTGAAGGTCTCATAGTTTATCTTCTACTGTTTGCGGAGCAGAGTTAAATAATAATAATAACACAGTGATTCCGTGTATGGGATTATTTTAATTTACTTTTATTTTTAAAGGGGAAAAATGCATTGAAATTATACTTAAGAATAATAAATCTGTAAAGTATTACATTCCTTTCCTTTAGCATTTTGTAGGTAGAACGCTCTCTTGTGTCCTATAGAAATTCAGGGCACACGTATTGAATTCCTTTGTCAGTTGTTTATGCCATCTTCCAGTTACAGCTGAACAAATTGAGTTTGTTATGTTAGAGGTTCTTTTGCTGCTCTGGTTTTTTAAGATTTCAGGGGTTGCTATAACCCCAAATAATCACAGGATAATTTTTTTGTTCTAATGCTTCCACTTGATGCAATTTTTAGCATGTAATTTTCTCTCATTATGCTCTTTTGGTATGGTGTACCACTTGCAATGCTGAGGTAATGAGATGCAAGGCAAATTCAAAATTGTTAAAGAATTGTCACTGACCATATGTTATCATTATGACTAATGTGTGCTTCATGTATTGATGTTTTTTAAGTGAAGGAAAACATTATTTAAATAGTTGATAAAATTTGTTCTAAGAGAATGCATGATTATTTTCATGCTTTCACGAAGCTGTTACAATAGCATACTCTGCAGGCCCTGAGGCACTGGTGCAGGCTGCCTGGGGAAGCTGTGGATACTCCATCCCTGGAGATATTCAGAGCCTGGTTGGATGGGATCCTGGGCAGCCTGAGCTGGTGTGTGGCAGCCCTGCCCACTGTGCAGAACTGTAACTGGATGGACCCTAAGGTCCCTTCCAACCCAAGCTGTTCTTTGATATTTTAAAATTAGTACAAGTTAATTGGTACAGTTAAACAGTAAAAAAAAAAAATAATAATAATAATAATAATAATAAAAAAAAAACAGAAACCCCATAGAATCGAAACTTAAAGGTTTCCATCAAGAAAGCATAAAAATAGAGTATCTGAAAGAATCTAAATAGGGAAAAAATACGATCTCCAGTTTCAACTATCCATAACTTCCATTTAAAAAGTAAAAAATTGTGGGATGGTAGTGAGTCAATTTCTTTTTGGAAGGTAAGGGATTTTTCTTTATAAATAGAGGATGGAGGTCAGATGTAGAGGCCTTGCCGATCTTTAGCTGGTAAACATGGATATCATCTAATAAATATCTAGCCATGTGAGACCTCTTGTATACCTGTAGGTGTGGATCTGAATGTACAGCTGTTAGGAATTGGCAGATTCATTAGCTTATGTTGATCTGACATCTGATCCTAGCTGCAGATCTTTAGGAGAAAAGAATTTATTATTTGCTTTGTAGTTAGTAGAAGGGAGCATCTTGATATATAATGTGCACTCTGGCTTGGTTTCAGTCTATCATACGATGTGTAACTGTGATACAGGAATTGGCATTTGTTTGGGCCATTCTAAATAGGCTGCAAGTCAGGATAAAAAAAATTAGCTGATTGCATATTTGCGTCACTCATGGGGTTTGGAATGGGATGGGGGTTGCTTGTTTGGTTTTGTTTCTTTCTAATGAGGCAGTCTTTAGGTTCCAAGTGGTTTCCTGGAATGATTTTCAGCCTGTTCTTGTTCTTAAGCAACCTTATTGACTGTGACTGAAGGTAGGAAGCATTTTGTGTTTTTTTTCTGCTTCATCTCTCACAGTGAAAAGTGGGGAAACCTTATAAAAGGCAGAGGGTTAGTATGGTACCAGAGGTAAATGTTGTATAATGCTTTTTCAGCCATTAATATGATAATGTTATTTTCTTTGTACAGTTGCAAATGAGGATGTTAGGACAAAATGAGGCACTGTCTCTGGAGAGCCAATTCTCTACTGGGTAGCTAATGCCAAGTTACAAGGATTTTGTTGTATATGGAGAATTTTGAGAGATACTTGTGATACAAGTTTCTAAGATCTCCTTGGAAGTAAATGTCAGAGGAGAATTCATAATTGAAAAAAAAAAAAAAAAGACATTGTATGGCACTGCTTGTCTGACTTAAGGGCCTAAATGCTGACAATTGGATGTGGCTTCACTTTCTATTGAACAGTCCCTTCTAAACCCCTGTGCTTCTATGTGCTGCCGAGTGATGGAAGGTAGGTGAAGTGAGTCTCACGATCTGAGTTGTCTACATGAGATTCTAGAAATGTCCTGGAAAGTACAATTCTTAATTTTCTTTCTCCTTCAGGCTGTGAGTAGTTTATATCCCTTCTCCCCAGTTTTATTTAAAATTTGAGAAATATCTTGGGTTTATTTGAAGATACTGGTTTTCTTTCAGTCTTCACAATTTATGTAGTTATAGCTTGCCTGTATATAAATCACCTTTCTCATGTGACCTCCCAGCATCTCCTGTCTGTGGTATTTATCTGCCACAATTTAGATCTGTCAGCATTACATTCATCTCATACCACCATGGTAAAAGGCAAAATTTAGAATGTTTCTTAGATTTTCCCATGCATTTTATGGGGTAAGATGTAGAAAGGGCAGATGTAGAAAAATTCTGCATACTGAATTTCCTGTGGCTTGAATCCACAGACATGCCATGTTGTACAAATTTTGATCAGTTAAAAAAAATTCAAAAACCTTAATGTTATAAAAGCATTTTACTAGATAGAAAATAAATTCTTTTCTCCTGTCTTTTTTAGAAGTCTAGACATGACGTATAGTAATTAGGAATCGTCCATAACTTTTTTTAGTTGTACCTTTATTGTTTGTAACAGCTGTCTGGTTAAGGTATTTTTGATGTGAAGTTTTCACTGTTGCAGCAGATAAAGCTCAATGACAATATGAGTATTATATAGAAAATTTAATTTCTCTAAAGCTATAAAAAAAAAAAAGTTGAACCAGCTTAGTTTTGGCAGCAGGTAAATTTAGAAAAAAAAAAGGAAGAAAGTAGATTGTACATATACTAAAGTCAGAGTTTTTCATCTGTAATGTATCAAATTAGAACTTTGGTTGCTTTTTTCCCTGGAAACAGCTGTTAGAGGAAAGGTGAGTCTTTAATAAGGCTCTAGGACCAGGTTGGATGGGGTTTTGGGCTGCCTGATCTAGTGGGAGATGTCTCTGCCCATAGCAGGGGAGTTGGAACTGGAGGATCTTCAAAGTCCATTCCAACACAAACCATTATTTGATTCTATGATTTCGTAAGTACAAAAGAGGTCTTAATTGCATTTATTGATGTTTCAGGGTTCTTCCATGCCACCAGAGTGTTGCAGAAGGATTTGAGAGGCTTACTGTTATTCTTCAGAACTCACATTTTTTTCAGTTAATATTTGCTTATATCTGTGCCACATAGATTTATTTACAAATGGTTTTTGTAATATTTTTTCTAATACTTTTTAATGCCTTTCTTAATCTGTTTTTCCAAGAATACAAACAGAATACAGTATATTTATATAGTGGAATATATTTGAACATCTATTCTAGCTTCAAAATCCAATTTTTGTCAAAGCTTGCAAAAATGCTTTTATTACGTTGCTTTTAAAGCCTTTTATATTAGTTCATGGAAGTTGCCACATGATATTTTCAGCTTTATATTGCTTTATGCTTGTATGCAGAGTTTTTTTTTAACACAAACACTTCCGTATTAAGCTTTAATTATGGAAGTCTCCATGACTACCAGAGTAGAGAGTAATATTCATCCAGGTAACTCAGTAACAAAATAATTTGTGTAGTGCTTTGTGACAGAGTAATAGGTGTCCTTTTTACCCAGAGCTTTGTCAGGTATGGCATCTCATTGCATTTGTGAATAACAGTTGGCAGGTATCTTTAGTGCTGGTGAAGTCCTTTATAGGGTCATTGAACAGAGTAAATACTCAGTTTTAGGGGCAGAGGCATATCTGAAGGATTTGCTTTTCCAACGTCATTGCTAAGAAATGTGCTCATTCTGTGAAGAAATGTCAAATGTTGCAAGACTATGCATGTTATGGAGAATCATTCAACACAGGAAATATATTTTAAACCTAATGGTTACTTTCTGTCTTAATATGGTAAATTGACTTTATAAACACTTCCAGAGACCTCTGAGTCTTGTGAGTTTTTTTAAGCATTAGATATGTTAGTATGTTAAAAATAACTTTCACTGGTGTGAAATGTGGGTATTGCCTTATGATAGGACCAGGTTTCAAATAGTACCTTTCTTGGAGATAACTGATGGTTGTGACATGATTCATGATCACAGTCCAGCATTGTTCCATTCAGTCCCTTAAAAGGCTGAAAACCAGCGTTTTTGTCATCTGACTGGAATTTCAAGCCAATGAAGACTTATTAGTCAAATGATGATTTTATAAATAGAACTTTGAAATGTTTGTTGTGAAAACAGGAAATACTTTTGAGAAGATACATTTAATAGAATTTATTTAAAGAGGAAAATAATTACAAAAACTGAACTATCATTATTCATTTCTAGAGAACTAAGTACTTTAGAAGTATCTCATAGAGAACATTTTATAAATATGAGTTTGGGATTTTGAGGAGTAGAAAATGCTGAATACAAAAAAAAGATCAACATTGTGTATTGTTATTTCATCTTAATTTCATTTCAGAATGTGTGGTTCACCCATTTCAGTGGGTGTTTTCAAGAGGAAGTTCAGTTTTAAACTTTAAATTCCTTGACTTCAAACACATCTCAATTTTTTCTTTATCCATCTTCCATTCCTTGCTAATAGCGTTGCACTTTTCTACAATTTTGGAAAATCCTGGAAATCTGATCCAGGAATCATCAAAGCCACAGAAGAACAAAAGAAAAAGGTAAAGCTGTGAGCATGTCAGACTTGTTCTTCAGGTGCCTTCTGCCAGTTGGTTGGAGTATGTGGTAATAATCCATGACTTTTCAATAAAATAAGCATTCAAGTCTAACTGGTCCGAAGCTGCATTTAGGTTCTCAGTAAGAAAAAAATAAAAATAAAAATTTTCAATTTTAATTTTCAATAGGAAAAAGTTTAAAAAAACTTTGGATGAAAATGTAAAGGTTTAGGATTTTTTCTTAGTGTAAGAAATGAGTCATTATGGGTTAAGTGTTGCTAGTTTGATGCTATAAAAACTTTATATAGACTTTAAAGCACCTCTAGTTCTTCTTACATTTGTAATTAAAAGTGTTAAGTTGTTGAAGATTTCAAGTATAAAACAGCCCAAACCACTGGCAGTCTTGCTTTTTTAAAAATGTAAATATTAGAGAAATTATTGATGATCTTATAAAATCTAATGCTTTTTAGCACTAATGACATTACCTCTTATTTCTGTGCATTCTCAGCAGCCCAAACTGAACATTGACCATGCCAAATAAATAAAAGCACCAGGAATGTGTTTTTTGTTTTGTTTCATTCTAAATTTTCCAGAAGCTCACATATCACCAAAAACTGAGCTCTGTGTTTCTATTTCTTGTGACTACAGCTATGTGGATTACCATAAAGCCACTTGGAGTAATGGCCTTAGGAAGTGATAAAGATATCAGCGACTTTAAAAGATGGTTGCGATGGCTTGAATGATTTTTTTCTGATAGATTATTACTGAGTTCTGTTGATCAGTGTACAAATTTTCTGTGCAAATTCCCTGTTACTGCAAGTTTGCCAAAGGAAAATCCAGGCTAAATTCTCTTTCTTCAGCAGGGCTAAATTAAGACCACAGTTGCCTATTGGTTCAGATTCAGCAAATTGCACAAACATGCAGTTCATTTTATCCACGTGCATTGGCAGTTGCACGTGGATATGAAAGCCTTGTTGAACTGTATAGGAATTGTGAAAGATAACCTCCTCATTTAGATGCATATCATTGTTAATGTTCTAATGCAACTAACCCAAGTGTAAACTGATTTATTATTGGGAGCATAAACCTCTGTAGGATATGTCTTAACTGGGTGCACTGTAGTATTTTCTCATGTTTCCATAATTTGTCTCCAAGTGTGTTTACACAAAGTTTGCCTTTAGCTTTTGAATAAGTAACCAAAAAATTCTTTTAATTCCAGATGACCAAGTTATGAATGTTAGAAATGTTGCAGTAAGCAACTTTTTCAGATGTTTATTCTTTGGATGATATGTCATGTCATTTTTTTTTATCTAGCATTTGTATATTGCAAAATAACCTGAGGTTTTCTTAAAGTAAGTCACTTTTCACAATCAAATGTTAATAATTTGAAAGCACAGAAGGTAGATCCCCAGGGCTCACGAAGCACAAAAGTATGTTTGTAACATGTAACATGTCCTCCTGGATCTCTCTGTGTTGTAAGTTCTAAGGAAAGCTTGATTTGAAAGCGCTGTATATACACCTTTTCAGCGAGTTTTAGGATGTTGCTTGTGGCTATATTGAACTCCAGTGTTAAGCATCGCATGTAAATTCCTTTGTGTCTTCTCACTGGTGTGTAGTAGTATAGTGCAAACTTCCACTGAAGTCAGAGGAACTACTTGTGGTTGCGTGGAGTGAGAGTCTGGAAGGTTGCTTTGATGGAGATGAATTCTGTGCCAAAAGCAATCAGAAGTACAAGCAGCAAAGCAAAAGAGAAGTCCAACTTTCAGAGCTTAGTTAAGGAATGTTAGAAAATTGTAAAAGACTGTTCCTCATTCATCTGTGATCAGCAGAAGCGCTAAGACACTGATTATCCCCGGACTGTTGACTGTAGCTTTTCCCATCTACTTTGAGGCAAAGAATCCCATAAATATTTCCTGATAATTAAGTATAGTACTGCGGGGAGAACTTATGCACCTTTGGTCAAGTTGCTGCTTGTCATCTCATTAGGGAAGTGACAATTTTATTGCTATGATGAAATAATACTTGTAAGAACCATATTACTCCTTCTCCAGTGAGAAGCCATGTTGATGCTTAAGCTATATGTGGTTTGAAAGGGAGCAATAGATCTGTTTACTGTTAGGCAATTTATGCTGAGTGAATTCCTTCTGGATCAAGGAAGGCTATTTTGGCAGAAGATGCTTTCAGGATATTTTCCACATGTGGCAAGCATCATTTAAAAGTCTCGTGAGACAGATTTCAGCTGCTGAATTTTGGAATTTTTTGGACAACATATAACGGAGTTGTATGTTTCTTCTGTTCCATCAATAACATAAATACTGGGGGACTGCACTAAATAAAAAGTTATCATTTAGTGTGAAGGAATAAGGATGCTTTACCTAATACCTGTATATGTTCTCCAGTTGAGCCACGAGTATAATGTCTGTAGGAGAAGGTTTGCATTCTTTGCTTTCTAGAAACTTCAATATTTCAGGAAAGAGGTAAAGGCAGATTTAAAGTATTTGATGGGATACCTCTAGAAATGGTCTTTTTTTTTTTAGACTAGCTGATCCTGCTACCTTCCTGAAAGGTCTTCATTGTGTTCCCCTTTAGAAATTTAGAAATCAGGCTTGAATTAATACTGGATTAACAGAGTATGTTTAAAATCGGTTTCAACTGAGTTTGACTTGCTCCTATATGTAAAGACTACTGAAATTCCTAGAGTTCACAGCCTTTGAGTCAAACACATTACAGTTCATGTCAACATTTGTTTGTATGCTAAATCCTATTTCATCCTCTTTTTTTTTTTTTCCTGCAGACAATAGTAGAACTTGCAGAGACAGGAAGTCTGGACCTTAGTATATTCTGCAGTACCTGCTTGGTAGTGTATATATATTTTTTTCTTCTGTGCCAAAATCAGATGATCCTATACTGAACACACTCTTGTCTTTATTAATTTCATAAAAAGGGCAGAATTGATTTGCAGTCTTTAATTCATGCTGTATTTTCAAGAAATAAAATAATTTACACAAAAAGCATTATGCAACAATAAGGAAGAAAAGTATTCATGATAAATAAATGTTTCTTTTTTTAAAAAAAGATAACTTTTTAATTATCAGGGCAGTCAGTATTGCACCTTACTGCTCTGAGATGTATAAAATGTATGAATGATGTTATATTCTTAAAGTCAAATCTAGAATATGATGGACAAATACGGCAACTTAAAATTCTGTGTGTATCTATGTATATCTCCAAATAGTTAATATCAGATCTTTTTTTTGTTGCTATTTTTTATTTTTTTCAAAACACGAACTTGAAAAAAATTGTTGAGAGTAATCAAGAGTTTTGAGTTGCAGTTGCTGAATAGCATTCCTGTCTTTAGAAAATAAGCAGAACAGTTTAAGGCTTCATTATGAATACTGCTGACAGAATCATGGAACTGGAACTTGTTCTGTACATTCATTGCTGAAAAGCTGAAATGAAACTGGTTGCTATACAAAGCTCAAGAGCTGGAGGGGATAGAAGAACTTTGGGGGAAAAAAAGTCCTTTATGTAAGAAAATTAAGGTTGCAGTCTGTGTGTGTTTGTGTTAAATATAACGTATAGGTTAAGATTAATAGCTAAGATCATGTTAAAAATTGAAGCTATCTAGGGAGTTAACAAAATAAGTTATTGTGCATTAAACTGCTCTTTTGGTGTTCTTAACAAATGTTAATAAACATTACAGATACGGAAGCCAGTGAGGTCTAAACACTGTGGTGTATGCAATCGATGTATAGCAAAGTTTGATCACCACTGCCCGTGGGTGGGTAATTGTGTGGGTAAGTAATCTGCTGAAATCTGTAAAAGATAAAGAAGGCAAAACCTCCTGGAAATGATCCTGTGTGTTGTATGGGATTTTGCCTGTTCTTCTTTCATGGTGAAATTGAGTAGGCAGAAAAACTGTAGAGGTAGAAGGAAGGTAATTTTTAATATTGGTCCTAATTTTTCTTTCTACATGTGATTCTCTGTGTTAGCTTTACCTCTAGTGTCTGTTACATACCCAGACTCAGAATTGTTTTCTGTCCAATTCAGTTTCTTGTATGTATATTTATACTAACTTAAATTCTAATAATTTTAGAAGTTAGTTAAGCTTTTAATCCTTTCTACGCTAAGAACATCTACTGATTCCACAACTGACTGCTTATCCATTTGCCTAATATAAATTTTTTCATCTTACCTAATAATTTTCTAGTGGGAAAGTGCACATATTCAAAAATGCAATTACAGTAGTGAGATATAGAATGGCTTACTACTGAGATATTCTTTTCTTTTTGACCCCCTCACACCTTCCACCCTGTAATTCCCAGAATAAATTCATTTTTTCTCCCTAGTGGTGATATAGAGAACTGATACTGAACAGGAATCAAGTCTCTAAATGCTGCAATTCCCCTGTTTTTCTTCGTGAAAAACTTACTTGAATTATCATGCAGGGGTGTCACAGCTAGAAAATGAATACAATTCTTCATTATTATTTTTTTTTTTTTAAAGACATGAGTAGAGGTAACTTCAGTCCTGGGGAGGAATTAGGACCTGGATACAGTGACAGAAGCTTCATTGTAGTCCTTTCAAGTATTAATAATAATATTTAGTCACTGTAGTTTGATTCTTCTTAGGGAACAGGACAGTGCTGACATTTGAATTGTTAACAAAGCATCATTGAAATCTCATGAAGATGGACTTGAGTTGTTCCATTCTCTTTTTCATTTCCTACTACTGTCACTATATGAGTTACTTTTGATTTATATTTTAGATGTTTTACAGTGAAGAACTAAGAAATCCTTAATGAACAACAGCAAAAAAGGCTGAGTGGGCACAAACTCAGATTTTGGAGACACTGCTGAGTGACAGTTTGGTATTTGTTTTGTGAGGGTGCTGAGAACCTGTCAATGGGACAGAAAGACCCAGAGTTTTAACCAGTGATTTGAAAAGCAGAAAGATTGGGTGGGAAAGGAAAAAAGAGACCTCTTAGTTTGTGTAAGAGAGTACGTGTGTAGCAGGATTAGGTTAGGGATAGGTAATATAGTGGACTTTTTCTTGTTTTTTTTGTTGTTGTTTGTTTGTTTAGGGGTTCTTTTTAGAGTGGTGGTGGTGATTTGTTTTTTTTTTCCCCAGAAACAGTAGATGAAAAAACAGAACCTTCTTGGTCTTGAACAAATCAGGATAACCATTGATAAAAGTAAACATTAGGAAACTTGAAAGTATGTTAGGAGGGAATGATGGTCTAATGGCCTTATATGGCTTTTCTGCCTCCAGTTCATAGATGGTGACTATGAGCACAAGATTACAAAACAGAACCCATTCTTAAAACTGCATTCATGGCATGTTTCCCAAATAGGGAAACATGAATTATGATGGAAAGGTTAAATTTGGAAATGTTTCATGTAGTCTTGAAATGTGTTAAAAGAACAAGAATTTTACTAAAGATAAGATTGAGGAAAGAGTGTGTACAGACACTCTAAAAATAAATTCTTCTGGGATTATTTGCTATGCAAACAGATTAAAAGAAGGACAGGCTTCTTAAAAAAAAATAGTTCGGCAATAAGGACAAATTATCTTCATCATATCTGCAGAAATGTCATTAATGTTGCAGTGAGCGGGTCTCTGAAGGTGATTGATTGTACCTGTCTTTCTAATGGAATATCAGAATGACAGTGTATTACGTATTTCACAGGTGGTTATTTACTAAAAAAAAAAGTATTTCTCACTTTTAAACTTATAGTTAAGCAAATGCCATTTCAAATGTAAACTGTGGACTTGTAACAGAAATCTAGTTTTCAAAGAACAGCATAGAAGGAAGCAATAGCCAAACTTTATTTACTTTTATGACATGAGTTGTGCTGCCATAGAACTGAATTGTTCTCAGAGCAGTGACTAAGAAGAGAGGTCTTGTGTATTTCACAAATTACTTATGGTTTGGAATAATGATCTCTTCCCAACTCCAAACAAAGATTCTCCAAAGGTAGGAGGAAGTGAAGGAATGAGCTATCTGTCCAAATCATTCAATATATAACTCTATCGGATAAAATAACAATCAGTTGTCTTTACTGTGTTATTACTTATGTAAAATACCAAAAAAACTATATAAAAAAAAATTAGCAGTTGTTCTTAGTGCATTGTCTTAACCATGAAGTCACTTACTACTTTCCTTAGGGTGAACCTGTATAATATAAGGATGTGTTTTACTCAGTCTTATTTAAGATGCAAAAGAAAGGTGGATTCTCCACTTTTCCAAAGTCTTTTAATAGTGACCAGGGCTGTGCATGTCTAGACATATTTTCACTAAATAATGGGTTCTCCAGTTAAGTAGAATCATAGAATAGCCTGGGTTGAAAAGGACCACAATGATCATCCAGTTCCAACCCCCTGCTATGTGCAGCGTCACCAACCACCAGACCAGGCTGCCCAGAGCCACATCCAGCCTGGCCTTGAATGCCTGCAGAGATGGGGCATCCACAACCTCCTTGGGCAACCTGTTCCAGTGCCTCACCACCCTCTGTGTAAAATCTTCCTCAGAATTCCTCCTAGAATTTGATTTGGTATCGCTGGAGATGCTACTGAAAGGAACATTTCATTGAATACCTATCAGTTGAACCTCATGGTCTGACTATTTAACTTCCTGTTTTTGAATTTGTTTTTATGAAACCAAACAGTTCCAGAAGGGGAAGTAATACCTTAGGGGCATTCCCAACACTCCTCCTTATATTCTCTTAGCTGATTGAAGGCAACATTGCAGCATATTTTACATCCAAAGGAACTTGTTTGATTTTCAAGGCAGTGTCTTGTACTCAGTCTAGCTTGTGTTTATGGGTGTTTTTCCTCATCTTTTTTATGTAGTCATTCAGTTTGCTTGCAAAAAGCACTTGATTATTTTCTGCCTCCAGAGGATGTTCTTGTTTAGCAGGCAAAACATCTGATATAATGAAGAAGTAAATATTGTGCTTGTAGATGATGACAGCCAAATCTTTGTAGCCCATTACAGTCTCTGTGGGTTTAGCTTATAGCCTAGTGCTGTTAGAAGGTTAAAACAGTGGACATATTTTATAGATGGAAGGTTGAGTCCTTCAAAATTAGGGCCTGCTTGTGTAAGAGACATCATCTTAGCTATACTCATGTTTAAAATAGAGCATTCTCTGTAAAACTGATTTTTCTTGTTTTTAACTCCAGTTAAAATGTTGTACTTGTTTTTGTGCCATTCATTATGTGAGCCAGTTAATTAGGCCTTGCCTGCAGTTTTTATCTGACTTCTGCTACATGTTTTGGTTGGGCTTAAACACACTTGAATGAAGCTAAGCTTTGAGTTAATTTGTTCTCATCAGAGATCGTATATTTTTTCATATTCCTGTTCATTTTAAGAATTCTGCAATCTGATGATTTTTGTCATTCTAAAAAAAAAATTACATATTGATGTGTAATTCCTCATTGTTCTGGGTTCTGTAAAGCTGTTAACGACATTGTTCTAAATATTGTATATTAATAATTGTATTAACTCATGAGAGAGGCTACCTATAATAGGAAGTCAAGCTTCCTGATGTGTTTTGTCTTTTGAAAGTGGAGTAATTTGATCTCTGTTCTTGTGCAACTTTAGGAGCGGGGAATCATCGCTATTTTATGGGATACTTGTTCTTCCTGCTATTTATGATCTGCTGGATGATTTATGGATGTATCTCTTGTGAGTAGATGTGTGGGGTTTGTTTGTTTTGTTTTTAATTACTTATAAATACTTCATCTCCTGGTATGGATTTTTACAGTGTTTTGCCTTATTAGAATTTTTGATATTCTTTATTCTGGAATTGAACTGCATATTAATCATTTCCCATGGTTATTTAACTTAAAAAATGTTTTTCTTGTCCTGTTTTTTGTCTTCCTCATGACCATGTGTGTGCCTATGTCATATATTCAGTGACTTGGAAAGGGAAGCCAGAACAAGTAAAATTCTTTTGGTACACTGCTGTTTTCATATTTCATGTAACATGTTCTGATGTGAGGTTTATGTTGATGTATAGTAAACACATCTTAAATCTTCCGTATGGTGTTTCTTGCTTTCTTTTTTCCTTAGACTGGGGTTTCCACTGTGAGACAAGTTATGCAAAGGATGGATTTTGGACCTATATTACACAGATTGCTACCTGTTCTCCTTGGATGTTTTGGATGTTTCTAAACAGTGTTTTTCACTTCATGTGGGTGGCTGTGTTACTCATGTGTCAGATGTATCAGGTATGGAAGAGCACTTCATTTGGGAGTGCATAGGAATATTGGACAGTTGTTGTTTAAATGTTCATGTTCATTATGCAAGACCAAGTGTTCAGTCCCAGCCACAGCTGAAGGAGGTAGGCATCTGTTGTCTCTGCATAATAGAAGGCATCATTCGCTTCTCATTCATTTGCACTTCTTTTATTTTGTGCAAGAGATTAAAATACTTACCTCCCATTTTGACAGAATGACAAAAAGGCAAAATAGACCAGAGAAAGGCAATAAAGGCTAATAGAAGCCTAGAGGATAAAATCTGTGGGTAGAAGTAGGAATAATGCAGTATATCATTAGCTGGGTGGTAACTTCAAATGGGACACAATTTCTTAAACTGCTTCAGGGTGATTTGTCATCACATGACTTTACTGTAATCTGACCAAACCCATTTTTTTCTGTATCCTTTTTAATGAAAGACAATTCATGCTGGAAGCCTTTCAATATTACTTATCATTAATGAGCAGCCAGACACTGATTTAATCTGTCTACAGATCCTGGAAATAAAAATCATGCTCTAAGACTTAGGTACAACTTCTTAGGAAATTGGAGTTTTCTCCTCCTTTCTGTAGAATGTTTATTAACAATATATGCCAATTTCAGAATCTTGCGTATGTGACATTTGTCTTGACCAGCAAAGACCTTTAGAAAAACAGATGAGCAAAGGTAACCATGTGTATTTCATGTGGCTTTCAAGCCAGTTTGAACCATGAGACTTCTCTAGCAAATGTGTGTAACTTTGCAGAGAGCCTTATGTCATATTTGTCATGACCCACTGGGCTCCACTTTGAGAATCCCTGTAAATATGATCTGTGTGCAGATGAATCTTTTGAATTATGCAATGCTTGGAAAAACAAACTGCATTGTATTTTGTATCATTAGTGTAATTAGGCAACATAGTCTTAGCACTTTTTTATTAATCCTGGGAAAATAAAATAAAAAACATAGTTATATTAATGCAGTGTTGCACTTAGAAAACTTAAGATCTTGTTTGATAAATCTTTCTGTGCAGTCTGACATAGGAATTGATGAACTTATTCTCCAGATTGTTTCTTTGGCTGTGCAGCTACACAGTCTCCTATTGCTCCTTGTTTTTTCCCTCCATCATCAAGTTTTGACTTGCCCTTTATATTGAACTGGCTGAGACTCTTGCCAAAGTACTGCGTATGAAAGAAAAGTAATTAAAAAACTGTACTTCCAACTTCAAAAGTTGGCCATTAACACCTCATTTATATACATAGAAATGAAACTCCACTGGGTTTCATGGAGGGAGAGAAAATGCTTGAGACAAGTAAATCCAAATGAGGCAAGCAAGCCCAAGTTTAATTTTCTCAGTGTTCATGTTTTTGTAACATGTAGCAGAGTTGATTTGATATTCCACTGGGAATTATAAGATTTTATCTTGCTGTAGACTATTAAGGGATTTCTCACAGTTCTGTTTCCAATTACATCACATTGCAATAAACTACAGTTTTATATGTGCCCTGTTAGGCTGAAGTAGTTGGAAAGTTATTACATAAAATTGTATTCTTTTTAGCCAAACGACTGTGGTTTGAAACAAACAAACAAAAAAACCCTTTTTCTAGTCAACTTTTTGTCTGACAGAAAAGTTGTGCTACAAAGTTTTAAATGAGGGAAATATAGCACTGTCATAAAACCATACTGCTATTAGAATGTCTGGAGAAAAAGAAAGTGATTCAAACGCTGTGTAAAGAAACTCCAGAATCTGTTATTTACAGTGCACTTCAGTTGGTAATTAATAGTGGCACCTCTACCCTATGAACTAGCAAGGCACAGTTTGTTCAGTGATCATGATTTATTTCTGATCACTCTTAAATATTTCGTACCATCTGGTACAGCGGTTGTATGGCATTTTATGTTGGGATCCAACAGGTTCAGCAGGACAAAATTTGTTCTTCAAAAGAACAAATATTAAAAAAAAAATTCTTTTTCTGCCTGTCTTACGTAGGGCTTGTTTGCCTGTTTTTATGTTGGCTAAGTGGCTTGCTTTATTTTTTTGTCTTCAGATATCTTGCTTAGGAATCACTACAAATGAAAGAATGAATGCAAGACGATACAAGCACTTTAAAGTTACAACCACATCTATTGAAAGCCCATTCAAGTAAGTCTTAAAGCGTAAACATGCATTTCTCACTTGTTGCTCCTCATGTTTGAATTGTGCAGCTTTTTGAATCTGAACATAGCTAAATACTATGATGGGGAGGGGGTGCAGGACGTCCCAGGAGCTGAAGTGGATGTTGTGTAGGTAAGATACAGGCTTTTCGTTATCATGAAGAGTAGGATATGGTGAGGTTCTAGTTTCTGTAGTGAGAAGAGTGCAAGCTAAAAAAGGAGAGCTCCAGGATGGTGTAGCACTGGGATGTTAGTACTTGTAGGAGGGGAATAAGGCAGAATGGAAAAGCTTGTAGAGTCAAAGCAGGAAATAAACGAAGGCGTGAGGCTGGAATATTGGTGGATTGAGGGCATATTATGAAGGAGCAGAGAAAGGACAGAAGCACATCTCATCCTGCAGTGTATGCTGTCACTTCTGTGGGAGCTGCTGCTCTTTCAGAGAGTACCCAAAGGAAGGGCAGATAGAATTCCTAGTTGTATGTAGTTTGATTTTAGTGCTGGAATAAAAGTTTGTATGATTTTTTTAATATCTTTACATACAAAACCTTTATTGAGAAAAAGACAAGCATCTCTCTATGGTTGACATCTTCCTATAGAAAAAAGTTGTAGCAAAATCAGTAATTACATTTTCTGAAAAAAGAACACAGAGTGGTGGGCAGGATATGAAAAAAAACTACAGGTTTTATCCCTATATTGATATCCAATTCATCCAAACCATATTTGGTGGAACAGCTGCTATTATAAAAAGGACTCGAAAAATTAACACCATGTATCTAAAATAACTGATTGGCATCACCTGTCAAAGAAGGAGTAGTCATCTTATTGCTTGGACCTTTTCTGGTGTGTTATTACATAAGCTTGTCTTCCAGAAAATCATGAACGTATTCAGCCTGTGTGTAATTATTAAGAAAAAAAAAAAGCTTTGGAGTTCTGATGCAAGCATCTTAAACATATGATGGTGAACTAATTCAGCAGCAGAAAGCCTGTGAACATGTCATCTACTTAATGCTTCCTTAATTTTGTGTTGTCTAGGAACTTAATTGATCTTAGACCTACAGCTGTGAACCACTAGGTGTGACAGAAATAAGTATTAGGAAAGATAGAAGTGATTCTGGGTAAGAACACTGGATAGCTGAAGGAATAAGAGAGCAGATAGCAAAGGACATTTAGTGTCATGATTGTGTCCAAGGACAAAAATTCATCAGTATAATGACTTATTTTAGAACTTGTTCCATCAGCAAGTGCTAAGCCAATTCTTATCTGAATTGGTTCTGTGCAGCTGGGAACTTAAAGACTGAGAAACTGAATCTGTAAAAGAAAAAAAAAAAAAGTATTTTGTTAAAAGAGCTTTGTTATTACTTACTAACTGTATTTCTGTTCTGTTTTTAGCCATGGTTGTATAAGGAACATTATAGACTTCTTTGAATTCAGATGCTGTGGTCTTTTTCGGCCTGTTATCGTGGACTGGACGAGGCAGTATACGATTGAATACGACCAAACGTCAGGATCAGGCTACCAGCTGGTGTAGCACCACCTTCATCCTGTGAGCATATCATATCTGAGTGGTGCCTGAAATTTTTTTTCTCTCTCTCTCGAAACCACATCCCTTGAAGAGTAGCATGCTATGTGTAGGGCTGGTGATGAATCTTAAGGTACCTTCTCTTCATCAGAATTTTATTAACAAAAGTTAAAATGGACAGAATAAACTGCCAAACCTGATAAGGAAGAGGAGGAAGATCAAAAAGGGATTTTAACAGTTCTTAACATGAGAATTACTCGCAACAGCATATTCACAGTATTTGTTGCTGTTTTTTTATTTAAGATCTTTCACAATGGAGCATGACATTATTGAAGTATTGACATAAGTAGTTATGTTGTGCTGAGCAGAAAAATTCGTTTCCCAATATGAATAATTCCACTGAAATGAGAATCTAGAATATAAAGTTAAATTTCATGACGCAAAGTTCACTGATTGCTTTGGTGTAGTTCCTGTAATGTGATTTTTTTTTTTAAATTACAGATTTTCTGTAGTATTATGTACATTGAAAAATGTGCTTTTCAATACTGTGATAAACATCACGTGGCGGGGATCCCCTGTAATGTTCAGTTATAGCAGTAATGCACATCTGGTAATGCTAAGAAAAAAATACATTGCCCACATTTTCTGGTGATTGTTATTGTCACCGCTTACTGGTACAACTAAATACTTGTGGAAGCCCTGTTCTGAGATTGTATAGTCTGAAATAAAAGATTGCACGAATAAGGAAAGCTTTTCTGTCAAAGTTGAAGCTGTGCTTAAACGCACGATGCACCTGCAGAAGTAGGTTACAGTATATAATGTTCAGGAAAAAAAGAAGTAGAAAAGAAATCATCATCTTTGAAGTAAATGTATAAACATTTCACAGACTAGCAGTGCTTCAGTACTGGCTTTGGTCCCCAGACAGCACAGTGTAATGTGGCTGCAAATGTGTTCAAAGAGTAGTTGCATGGGGGAAACCAAAGATGTGAAAACGAAAATCTCAATTATAAAAATATAAAGTAAAATAGTTTTAAATCAGCTGCAAATGCAGAAGAAGCCACAGTCATCTGAAATGCTTATTTTGTACGGGCGTAAAATAACGGAAACCAAACTTTAAAAAGAAAAAAAAAAAACAAGAAAAAAGCATATCTCCAAAATAGCACACGCACATAGAAAATGTATTGCAACATTCTGAAGAAGGTGGTGTATTGGCAAGTGGGAATCACCCTTAATGTTTTTAAGTTCTCATGCTACAGAAATGTTTGGAAGGTAAGGAATCAACTGAAATGGCATTCCAAGGGGGCTTTTCTTGAATGTGATGCACTGATTTTTGTTATGGTGTTTTCATATACTCATAGTGAATTGTTCACTGCTTCCTTAACTATTGTTTACAGAGAGACTGAGAATCAGGTTAGTTCTTTTCTAAGTGCTGTAGCAACCTAGTGGTTCGAGAATCCTGTGAGGGGACTCTGGGGAGGGGACCTGAAAGCCGATGTCTGAGACCAGTGTAAAGAATGTGTATCTGTACATAAATAATTTATCAAATAGTTTTCTCTCTGTGAGTGTGTGTTTAGTATATTTAAAGCTGCTCATTTTCATTTTATTCAACCAAAAAGTATAGGAAGATATCTAATGAGCTTTTAGTGATGTTAAATATTGCTGTTAATAGGCGTTACGCCCTGCAAATTCACTGCATGTTTGATGCTTGGCAAAATTAGCGTTTTCTGTAATATGCAGATTACAGGTAATAAAGCAATCTAGTGGTATTCCCGCCCCTTGCCTTAGTGAGAGGAGCAGTGAAACTGTAAATAGTTGATGTTCAGTATTTGCAAGTAAACATTTTTTTTTCTGTAGTTGTTTGTGGATCTCGAGACACACGCTTAGTTTGCAAGTACCAGATATCAGGATTTACAGAAGTGCAGCATTAAAGTACTTGAATGTTTAATACTGGAAAAAACAACATCATGTTGGACGCAGTTTTGATGGAGAGGTGTGGGTGTAGGGGAGGCAAGAAGCCTTTGCTGTTCTTGTCAGACAAAATTGTAATCCCAATTCCATTTCAGTGAAAACAGTTGCTATCAGTTACTCATCTTTTTTTGTAATCTCAAAGCAAAGCATGAAGACTTTGCAATGTCATTTATTTATTTCTCGGTAATGTTCTGCATATTTGTTCATTTCTCACATTTCTGTTGGGGGTTGGTTGACTTGAAGAACTGAAGTCTGCTTTATTAAAAGCCGCCCAGCACCAGGAGGGCGCTTCAGCACGTGATACAGGTTTTGGTTTTCATTGTCCAGTAGCATTAACTGCCATGGATTGTCATGCAGTCCTTTTAAGAAAAAGTTTGCAAAAAAGGTGATCTTTGGTAATATATGGTGAATTCTGCACTTTTCACTTGGTAAGAACTCTCTGGTGATGGTTTTGTGAAGGCCTGTAGAATTGGAGCAATATTGATTGTTATTAATATTAACCTATGTGTGGATTTGGGATGTGAAGTTTCCAGTGCAGACTGTGACTTGTCTTGAGTAACACTGAATTTTTGGATCAGAAGTCATAAAATGGCGCAGCGGGGGGAGCCAACTATGCAGCATTTTTCTGTCAAGTTATCAAACTTGCAACTCATTTGTTGAACCAAAACTGCATTGCTTCTGAAACTCAATGAAGCTCATCCAGACCAACAACAGATCAGACCAGCTTGATCTGATCTGGGTAGAATAAATGGGAATTTTGTCTTGGCCCTAAACATGTGCTGTTCCTTTGCAGGTTTCTGTATTCTTTGATGTCCACCAGATTATTTTTTTTTAATTAATGTGTAAAACAGCATCACTACATTTTAAGCTATGGATTTTTTTGTATATTCTTTATTTATAACTGTGCCAAGTATTATTTTAATACTGTCAAGATCTTGATGTATTACATTGTGAACAATAAAATCTGTAAAATGTTTAATAAATTAGCTCTCCTTACATAAATTAAATCTGTTAAATTTTGTAAGTTATTAATCAAATAAATATTGACTCTTAGATGCAGTGTTTGTCTTGACTTCTGATGTGGTTATGCACAGCACTGGTTTTGTCCATTCTCAAAAGTCTTTCTGGAAACAGATATCACTAAGAGAAAGCACTTCCATCATATAACAAGGCTACAGAAAAGTGTTACTGTCATTGTCTTTGTGTCCTCAGCTGTTCAGGCCAGGATTCAGCTCCTGAGTTTGAGCTGGCCCTGTCCAGGTTACTCTGCAGTGGGAGGAAGCCTTGTGCCTGGCAGAGGCTTTTTCGGTTGCAAAGGCTGCACTGAGTACTGCTCTGCCTTTCCCTCAGCCTCCGCATGGTGCAGGAGGGAGATGCAGTCTGCATCTGGAATGAGTCTTCCTTCTTGCAACTGTGTGCAAGGGAGCCACGTCTATCAGAGGTGTCTGGATGGACTGCTTGTTGCTGGTCAGTGACAGGCAGAGCTGCTGTCTAGAACTGAAGCAGAGAGCTTCAGTTCATTATTTCCCCTTCAGTGCCTTTTCTTCCTAAGTATCAATAAGCCAGACAGCATATTGTCTGTGTTTTTCAATTATATGTCTGATCTTAGTTGCTGTACTTTGTGCACTGTATTTTCTGAAATAATTTTGATGTTCTGTTTGGTCACTCTGAAAAAACCTCAGCTGTGAAATGACCTTTTGAAACTGGGGTCTGGTGAGGAGGAGAGGCCTTTTCAAACTCATCTCACTAAAGCAGTAGAGCAGGATGTGCACACAGACTTCAGCTGAAGCAGTGATGCTGCTGCATACCTCCCTGCACTTGGTTAGAAATAAAGAGAACAAAGACAATAAAATTCTTAGCAGTACTGCATGATTTTAGAAAGAACACACAGCATTCCCTTTATTGAGCTAAGTTGAAAGTGCTTGCAGAGATTTCTGAAATAAGCAGATTTTGTGCTGTATTTCTGGCGTGCACATGGTGACCAAACATTGGTGGTTTTTTTTTCAGTATAAGTGTGTGCATAAATGTATTTAGGAAGTTTGATTAAATGCTTTTTTTCTTTTCATTTTGTTGTTAGCTCTTAAATTCGCATGTGAAGAGTAGCTCTGTCCTCAGTTGTGAGACACACTACATGTTTGAGATGGTGGCATCTGATCATGATGGTTACAATGACAAAACCCGAAGTAAGTAGAATTTCATTTAGGAACAATGGCTTATATTCTATATAAGCATATACATATATTATGCTATCAAATGGTTGTCATTTGCAAGAATTTAACACACTTAAGAATGTCTTTCCTAAATCACCCTCAGTTTGTGCACTGAATGCAGTTTCTTGTGACTACTGTATATAGTAATGCAAAAGTCTGATATGAGCTTATATTAAAAACTTCTTGATAAGTTACTATTTAACTACAGGAATTCATTTTGAGTCGCTCTGAAAATGTATTTCAACTTTTTTTTCTGTTGTGTAATGGCCTTCTTTCCCTTTTCCCAGAGGCCAGCTTTTCAGCTCTGTGTTTAGCACAAGGGCAGACTCCCTGTAGGCTGGTGGTGGTGGTGGAGGTGTGAGCCTTTGGTGTGGTTGGGAGGGCTGGAGGTGCAGGAGCCTTCCTGCACAAGTGTCAAGTCAGCAAAGGAAAGAAATCATTTTGTAGCAGAAGAGTATTAAATTCTTCACTATGAAGGACCAAAGGGTTGCACTGGTGCTTGTGGTCTCACTGCTATCTCAGCATGTGCTGCCTCTATGCTACTGATGTCATTTTCAGTTGTAATCTTTCCCTGTGTGTGAGCCGTGCGAGCTCTTGGCTCACATTTTGATCTGCCTGTCTGCTCTTCCTCGTATCCACGTTGTTCTCCCCTAACTCGTACAAATTTCTCTTTGTGGATTACTTTGACTAGGACATATTTTTCTAATCAGGCAGTTGGCTGGTGCTGCTGCACTACCTCAGACTGTGGCGGTAGATGCTGCTTGAACCTCTGCCTGAGCCCACGCTCACACACGATTACCATTTTATTGCAGCATTCCTAGTCTTGCTTATGTCTGCATGAACTCACTCTGTAAAGGCTTTTTTTTCCCCCAAAGGTATCAGCCTGCTCCCAGAACCAGACGGTTTCAGCTCTCATCTTTTCTGTAACAACTTCTGTTGGGCAGGATGAGAAGAGAAACAACCTCCCACCTTCACCCCAACCACTGCTAGGGCTGTAAGTAAGTGCTGTAACCCGAGTCTGCACTGCCTCAGCACTGTGGCCGTGCTCTATGAGCTTGGCCTGACTGACCTCCTTGTTGTGCAGGAGTCTATCCTGCCCTGGAAGGGATGGGAAGAAGCTCCTCCTGCAACCTGTTACCTGATGCAGCTCAGGTGTGCTCCTGAGGTACAGTGTGTGGGATAAGGAGCTGATTCCCAGATCCCCAGTGCTTCTTTACAATAGGAGAAAGTTTGTGAAAGGATGTAATGGTAGCAGCCTGGATGAGGAGCCTGAGCACGCCAGTGAATGTGTTTCTGGTGCTCAAGGAACTCAGATGTTTTTAAAAACAAAAAACAGCAAAGCTATTTCTACTAATGCTGATTCCTTGCAGAAAAAAGAGGCAGCTTCCCTCACCCTGAATGACTTCTGCCTCAGTTTTAGTACCTCATTCTCATATAAGGCTGATGTGTTGGGCTGGACCCAGAACTTCTGTTGAGGAAGTGACCCCTACTTGCTTTACAAGAAGTGAAAGTTGAGGTCCTGTTGACTCAAGCCTAGCAGTGTCAGTGGGAGATGCTCCAGTCCCTAGAAGAAGCCCATCTCTCCTGGGAGCTCTCCACTGAAGATGTGATACCAGCACAAAGTAATTTCAGTAAACCTTCAGCAAATGCTATTTGACTGTGAGGGCCTTCACACAACTGGTGTGATCACACTAAATTGAGGCTGCATTTGACAAGTTTATTTGCCTGTGGTCCTTGCCCAGTCAGCTTGACCCCATGTCCCACTATCTATCCCAATGCCTGAAGGCAGAACTGTTCTGTTCTGGCACTGCAGGTGCAAACCCCAAACAATCCTCCCCTGGCTTGAGGGAACTGAGGACTGTAACCCTACTGGAAAAAGGTCAAAAGCTTCTCTTAATGTTATGTTTCACATGTTTCTCCAGCATTTCATCAGCTGTGAGTAGGGATGGTACTCATCTGCACCTCTATTAAGGGCACTGCAACCATGCAAACCCTGTGAATAATAAAACCTCAATACCAAGGCAGGTGTAATCCCACAGAAAGTTCTAGTGAGCAAGGATTGCTTTTCACCCCCTAGGGAATCCAGGGCAGGAAACAGCTGCTCACTTACATGTATAGCCACTTAAATCCAGCACACCCACCTCCGCACCACTGCTCATAGCAGCACATGAATGTGCTGTCCTGCTGTTGCATCTCTGTGGTAGTGAGGTGGTTACTCACCTCTGCAGCTTCCAGTCCTGCTAGGCTGTCAGTGAAGCCATTGTCTCTCTACCCAGCTTCCCCCCAAGGCAGTCCAGTAACAGTATCTGTAATAACCTTTTCACAGCTGACAGCAAGATAACATTTGACTTTAAGATATGTCAACAAGCAAAGCTTTATTGAATTGATATGCAGTATGAAAAGTGTGGTACATAAAGCAAGGAAGAAAGCAGTGCTTCAAAAAAAATCATCTAAAAGTATGGCCCAAACACTACAGCCAACTAGCATCTGTCTCACAGTAGTTAGTAACATTTTGGAAACTTTCCTTCAGCTGAATCTGCGCAGAGCTGTGCAGGTTGCGCTGTGCTCTCTCACTGGGCGTGAACGAGGGCTCCTGCTCCCTGACCATAGCCAAATCCTTTAGGACCAAAGTTCTTTGCGTAACAGCCTGCAAGAGAGAGGTGCTGGTAAGAGCTGAGGCATCTGAGCTGTTCATGAAGAGCAGCATTTTCAAGGTTAAGCCACTTGGCCACTTTCTTCATCAGAACACTGGAATACAAACCAACCCTTAACAACCTCTTCTGGGTAAATGCCATGGCTGAACACCCACATCTCTTCTATCAGGGTAGCTCCTGATTTGGGTGATGCTCAGTCAAAGATTTCCACCTACCAGCTCTGTGACTGTGTCCCCATCAAAGCACAATGTCACCCAGCCATGGTGTGGGTCACCCATGGTACCACAAAAGGTATGGCATGGTGACTGTTACCAGTGCCCACCCTCTGGTTTGCTCCTTGACCTGACTAGGGGCATGGGCTGCTACTACACAGCTCAGTATGTCCAGATCCAGCAAGGTTTTCCATATGTATGCAACATCAGCAGACTCAGAACTAGCACAGTGCTCAGCTCTGCTGCTGTGACACAGAGACCATTTCTATCATCTTGACAGAAGCCCAGAACTTTCTTGAAACAGGAATAAATTCTGTCTCTGTCCTTGCATTACATTACCAGAAGTGTGAGCACAAGTCGAGGCAGATGATTCTGCCCCTCTACTCAGCTCTCATGAGACCCTACTTGGAGTACAGCATCCAGTTCTGGGGGCCCCAACACAAGAAGGAGGTCAAGCTGTTGGAGTGGTTCCAGAGGAGAGGCACAAACATGATCAGAGGGCTGGAGCACCTCCCTTGCAAGGACAAGCTGAGAGACCTGAGGCTCTTCAGACTGGAGAAGGCTCCAAGGAAGCCTTATAGTGACCTTCCAAATACCTGAAGAGGGCCTACAGGAAGGCTGGGGAGTGACTTTTTATAAGGGCAGGTAAGGACAGGATGAAGGGAAATGGCTTTACACTGGAAGAGAGTAGATATAGACTAGATATCAGAAAGAAATTCTTTATAGTGAGGGTGGTGAGACAGTGGAACAAGTTGCCCAGTGAAGCTGTGGATGCCCCTCCCTGGAAGCATTCAAGGATGGGGCTGTGAGCAACCTGGTCTAGAGGGAGATGTTCCTGCCTATAGCAGGGGGATGGAACTAGATGATCATATATGTCCCCTCTAACCCAAACCATTCTATGATTGATCAATCATCTTTGTTTCTCTTCTCACCTTTACAGTAGATTTCTCCCTCTTTTTCAGTTAGGGTTGTAGATTCTAGACTTTTCCCACACTTGGCACATCGGAAGCAGTTCTTGTGCCATGGCTGAGGGGGAAATTGAAAAGATAGTTTGAATACACAGAATGCCTGTTTGTTTTTAAAAAAGCGTTAACTAGAGATGACTGCATCAGAACTGTTTACTTACACTGGAGCAATGAAAACCAGTCGGAGTGCATGCACCAGTAACCAGTTAGGAGTGTCTGTATTTTTAGATGGCACAAAGGCCTGAATTCCACACTGCTTCCTGCTTAGAGAAGTGTTTTGAAAGGTCTGAGCTTGTCCTAATCAATTCTGATCTTAGCTATCGGGTAGCGAGCCAGACAGCTGGCAGAATGCATCACACAGTGCTATGTGGTGCTTGCAGAGAACATGCCCATTCTGCTGAAACATTCAGCCCTTCGTGAGCTCTATGAGAAAAAAAAACAACACCATTCCCTCATCTGGAGGGCTCCTGTACTTTAAGGAAGTACTGAAGCTTTACTTCTGAAAAACAAGGTGAGAGCTCATTACCCAGAATTTCCATTTCAAGTTCAAAAAACTGAAGACTAGACTGATAATTTCCAATTCTGAGAAATGCAGTGTTAAGGAATGTGCCACGGTCAGTTCTGGACAGTACGCTCCAGGAAGCCTTCATAGCATACTTCGCTCACTTTGGAGCCCATTTAGCAGATAGATACCAAAGTCACATTCCCTTACCTTTCCGGCACCTATGACTTTCTCCGCCGCATAAACAGAATCCCCACACCGAGAACATTTCTCTGCACCTCCAAACTTCTGAGCAAATTTTGAAGTATTTGGGTTTGTGGTGGGTCGGTGAGGAGAGGGTGTGCTGAAAAAGGACATTTTGTTTTTGTAGTTCAAGGGTTCTGGCTCTTCCTGACAGTACTAACCATGCAGCATGCAACACACAGAACAGAATACCATACTTTTTCAAAACTGAAGAGATGCTTACCAAGCAAGACATTCTCTTTTTTTCCTACCAGGCTTTAAAAGACCCTAAGGAGCTACTGGAAAAGCTAGTTTTCCAACGGCCCCTCCCCTTTTCACTGCTAGAAGCATGCTGATACCCAGGCCTGTATTAGGACATGGATTTGTTTTAGCTTTAGCAAGCTAGAAACAATTATGTTAAATTCCTGTCATCTGATCATATCTGGAACTGATCAGTGACCCTAAGTACAGAGCTACTTAGCATCTCTGGATTTGCTCTGGCAGGACATTATACAAAGTCAAGCAACAATTTGGGAGCTTGCATAAAATCATCTGTGAGGCATAGCTCAGGTGCTTTTCACATGCTTTGCTTTACAGCAAGAACTTAATCAGATTAGGAATGTTTACTGTTTAATAAGCCATTCGGTTTGGCTATAATTAAGCCCAAACAGTTCTCCATTTACCAATTAAAAACTCGTTATTACAGCCCCAGATTTGCAACTCCTTGACTCCATCCCTGACAAACCTGCCGAGCAGCTGCATTTGCAGCTTATTTAAGAGAGCATCCCCAAACCCATGAGGGTGCCGACCAGCCAAGGGCTCCTGCAGAACATTCAGTGGGTCAGCAATCCCATCCCGTTGCACACAGCTCACTTCTCACATCCTCACCTGTGCCAACACCTGCCCTTACAGGGCCTACCCAGGGCCCTGCGATAGAAGGTTTGTGCATTGTTGGCTAACTTCCCTGCAGTTGGTTACACTGGGGAATTTTGCAGTATTTCTGTTCCAGGCAGCATGAATTAGACAAAATCCAGCCTGAAAGACTCCTGTGAGTGCTGCTGGAGAACACAGCTCATGCACGTTGTGGCTTGGTTAACTCACCTCTCAGGCTTGATGCCTAGTCTCTCTCCCCTGTCCATGTTCAGGGTGCCTGCCCCTTGCCCATAGCCGTAACCTTTTGGGCCATACTTCTTTCCATAGCAAGATTTGCAGTAAACTTCAGCATCGTGAATCGCGACAGTCGTGCTGTCCAAATTCTTCCGGCAGACCACTGGAGGGAAAAAAGTTAAATGCCATTAAGCGCCCATTTCCACCAGCACATACAGCAAGCCTGAAGTCAAGCAAGAA